ATATGGAGCCAATGAGCCGTTCCTCTGAGTCCTAAAGTCAGTTTCTCTTCAGTGTGCATTCAGATACACATGATGACATTATAAAATAATTTTTTGGTAAAGTTTTAGCATTTTTAGTTTGAATTTTGAGCATTTTTAGGTTTTTCTATGTGTACTGAAGCGTTCCATTCATTCCTAAGGGGGTCAACTTGACCCGCGAGTGAAGGATTTGTTACTTTTTTAAATTTCAACCACAAAACTCCTCGAATCCTTTAAAAAAAAAAAAAAAAAAAGTTTTGTGTATCCGTGGTTCAAGTACAACAAAAGTCCTAGGGTCTTGGACCCCTCTGATGAACACTCAATTTTTAAACATTTTTTTAAATGCCCCGAGGGAAGGATGGGGGTTAAATGGTAATTCTGGTTCAGGTTCTGGTGGCAGAGTGAAGGTGTGTTCAGCTCAGCTCAGAGAGACGCTCTCCACACTACATCTCTGTCCCGCATCATCTGTGACAACACACACATCCGTCTGGTGCCCCATGACCCCTTCGCACACACACTCCGCCCTGACGACCTGCTGCCCTGCACACGCATCGCCCACATGAACCTCTCAGCGTGGAGAGAACCAGACGCTGGTAATAGCGACCGAGAGAATAAAAGAATAAAATAATCCTTTTATTTGATGTGTTTTATTCATATTCGGCCTATGTTTTGGTCTCATTTTTAGACCCGGTCTGTGGTGCCGTCCCACGGTTGCATCTGGGTTTCTCTGTGCTGTGCGACTCTGTCGTGATGTATCAGTGTCCTACTGGATACTTGCTCCAGGGAGCCGCACACGTCACCTGTGACCCCAACACTCACAGCTGGAGCCCACAACCACCCACCTGCCAAGGTCTCTCTTTAAATTCAATTAAATATGTAATATTATATGAAATATGTCATATTAAATGTTAAATATGCAATATCAAATGTCAAATAACATTAGATTAAATATTAAATTAAATAGTAAATATTAATACAATTTTAAACAATTTATGTTAAATATTAAATGAAATATTTAAATTAAATTTAGAAATTGGCTATTTAAAATTAAAATTTAGAACAATGTTTTTATTGGTTATTTCAAATATCGATGAATGATCTACTCATTTTTTGGATGTTAGGGCATTCATGGACATTGTTTAAACTAGACTAAACTAAATTAAATATTAAATATCAAATATTATATTAAATGTAAAATAACAGTAGACTACATTTTAAATTAAATAAATATTAATGATAAAATATTAAACAATGTGAAATATTATATATAAAAGATATAAATTAATATAAAAATACATTCATAGACAGTCATTAAATTGAATTAAATGTTTTACATGTAAAATAACATTAGATCTGATTATATGGTAAATATTAATGAAAAAATATTAAACAATTAATATTAATGTAAAAACCTACAGCGTTTTATTCTTTTTTTTTCTGTATTGGAAAATATTCTGCTAAAACTTATTTAAAATCCTGTCATGTTTGCACTCATGAAAATATAAAGTGTACAGAGAAATTGCAATAATAACTTGCATGACTAAGAAGACAAATGAAGACATACTATTTATTTATTTACATACTTCTGATCTTATTTCAAACCATAATTGAATTTCCTGACATTATCTTACAATATATGTCATGTTTCAATAATATCTTGCATGACATAAGTATGTAAATTTTCTTTTAATTTACTTATTTTTAATCATTATTGAATTTCCTATTATCTTTCTCCTATAAAAAGTTTGCTTTTTTATTTCCTAATAATTGGCTAATTAAGTTAAATTAAATTTTAAATGTAAAATAACATTAGATTATGTGGTAAATATGAATGGCAAAATACTAAACGATTAATATTAAATCAAATATTAGAATAAAATTTGAACTGATTCATTTTACACCCAGTTAATGAAAACAGCGTTTTTATTGGTTATTTCAGATATCGATGAATGTTCGGCTCATCCGCCCGTCTGCCCTCCACACCTGCAGTGCTTCAACACACCTGGAGGTCACACCTGTACAGGTGAGTAGCGGCCACATCATGACCAGCATATATTAATCATAATCACATGAATGAGCTTTTCTGTGTTGCATATGTAGAAGCTGAAGCTCCGCCCCTTTCTGCCTCCTCCATTGTTGCGTCACTGATGTCAGTCCTAGGGGGCGTGGCCTTAATTCTGCTCTTCCTCGCCTGCTACAAAAGGTGTGTCACAATCTCCAGTTCAAGCAGTTGTTTGGTATGTTTAAACGTGTACACTTATACTAGAATGTCAATCCATGCAGAGTTTTCCTTGGGAAAGCCGAGACGGCGAAGGCAGAATGCTGTCAGAGAGGAAGATGAAATGGAGTCGAGGGAAAACTGGTTTGGAAAATGTGCAGATTTGGTCACAATCGGTGTGTGTTTACATGTTCAATATTCCAGTTTCATAACCACAGTCTCGTTTCACTGCGCTCAACACGTGTATGTGTTCAAGCCTGCAAAGCATTTTTAACATTCTCCCAGTGTTCTCGCCCTTGAGAAAAGCTTTTGTCTGTGGTAAATCTGCCGTCGGCTCTCCCACGCGTGACGTCACATCAGCTGATGTACAAAAGTCCTTGCTTTGTTGTGACTTAAGGCCATTGCACACTGAAGTCCGAAATTTTTGCATGCGTTTTTCGTATTCGTGATTCGGTGGCTCTGAATTGTCAAAACACCATTCAAACTGCTGGCTACGGATGCGAAAAACGCAGAAAATCGAACCCGATCCGATTTTTAACGTTTCGGATGCGAATTTCGGACTCAGTGTGCAATGGCCTTCAGCCTTGAATTTGTACACATATTGGGTCTCATTCATGAAACACGAGCAGAACGAATTTTTGTGTAAATCGTGTGTAAAGTGGTTCTGGTGTAAATTTTCGGATTCATTAAAATGTTCGTATTTTCCAAATGTTAGTTGGTACACAAGAAATCTACACCAGCTCCCAGCCACGCGTAAATAGTGCGCTTAACACCCGAACGTTTTGCTCATTAATAACTAAGCCTGCATTTTAATTCCCCTTAATCGGGTACATATTTGTACAGCATTTTGAAAAATATTATATATAGTAATTACATACGGTTTTTCTTATTATGAGAGCCAGTAATAGCATCTGCGATGGTGGTCCTTCTCCAGTTTGAATACTATTTTTCCGAAGTGAACTAATTCGTTTTTTGCTCTCAAGCTTAATGTCGAACCATTTTCTTCTCACTTCTGGGAATGTTTGATTAACAGATGAAACTCCAGTAACTGCATCTGTAATACTGCCAAGCTTCCTTTATTTAGGACCTGATACGCCACTATATGGACGCTTGAAAATAAAATGTGGCATTTTGAATGAACTTCTGATAATAAAACTTCAATTTCTGCATCTGAGAATTTTTTATTTTTCATTCGCATTCATGTCATAATATGATGCCCATATATAGTTGCCAGTCGGATTTAATGGGCGGGGTTTATGGTAATTGAGAATGAGCGTGCACGCGCGTCCCATTTACGACTGATTGGAATTCATTAACACACACACACATTTCACTATCACATCTGACGTTTATGAAGTATTTGTGAATCAGGAGAAGAGTTTTCGGGAAGGTCTCTTTACGCGCAAATCACTCTCATATTTACTCGTATATTTACGAATGTTTCATGAATGAGACCCATTGAGACTATATTGACTATTGCTGTGACATCATGCATACATGCGTGTATGATGCATTAAATAAGCTCTTTTTAAACTATTATTTCAAGCATCATAAATTAATTTCTGAAATGTTCCATTATCTCATAAAATCATAATAATATATATATATTCAAAGCCTGTGGAAGTCCAAAAATATATATTTGACCAGCATGATTTTTTTATACATAAATTATTATGAATAAAGCACAGTTTCTTACATGCTGTATACTTCTTTTGGGCACATTTCTTGGGACAACATTAAACAAAAACAAATCCGAGTCACACGAATGTGTATTCTGAAGACTTTAATAGACTGAAAACACACACGGTCATTTTAACATGACGAGGCAGTTTAACTTACACGCAATGGACCTGAGGGTAGATGCTAAATTTAACGTGTCACGGATGAAAAGAAGGCTTGAAAACATTGCACATGCATTTCCAGTTTACAAAAACAAAACAGTGCAACCATCCGAAGACATGTTTTCACTCGCGTCAAGTTAAATATGGCGGCTACGGCCTATAAAAGGCTCTGTAAACACTGGATTTGTGCAGTAAGACAGCGATTGTCAATCAAGCAACAGTTATTATCTATGGAGTGTGATGCATCATGGTACAAGTATCTGTGTCTAAGATGGTTTAGCATTCATTACATGTGTGCTGGCAGTGACGTGTGTGTGCAGGAGTGTCTGTAACAGACATGGCACATTTCTTGGCACTTTAAGGAGGTTGCATAGAAAAGACCTGTGGAGGATTGTCCATTCGAAGCTGTAAACCGTTAATGTGCACAGAAATAACCGGTGCACAAAGCATGCTGGGACAGAAAGCGCCTTAGTGTTCTAAGTGCATTGCACATTCAAAATAATGTTCAAAACTGCAAGGTGAAATCAAAAGCAGCTCTAGAACTGCCTTATGATTCAAGAACTGATGCTATTGTTGGAATTATCATATAAAACATTCACATGTTTGTATAACATAGTAATTTCGAGAAAACAAACACAGCATAAGATTTCTGCAAATAAAAGCCAATTATTTTGCTATCTCTCTAGAATTCTATTAAACTGGTTGAGATTTGACCGATTGTTGTCCGTCACTGTGTGTAAACAGGAACACTAGATGAGCTGAAAACATAAGGTTTGACTATAAGGGTTCAAGCTATGAACTTTGCAAATGGCAAATTAAACGGAGACTTTTTACCGGTAAATTGAAAAAAAACGTCCTGTTGTTGATATAAATGTCTTACAGATGTTTACCTCAGTGTTAAGTGGCACTTTTTCACACGTTCGGTTTTACCAAAAGCTAAAATAACAGAACCTTGTCAACAGTAGAACTGTAATGCTGTTATTCCATTGGCTCAGGGGGAAAGAGGCATTCTGGGAATTCTTCTGTAGTGTTTCCCTGAATATGTAGCTATCAAACGCCGTCATGGGAGGAGTGTGTGAGTGAATGTTGAGATGTGTTTCTGTGTTTTTCTGGTTCTCTAGCTCTCCTCCGTCAGGAAATATCCCAGTTTGGCCACACTCATCTCTCTCCGCAGACGCATCACTTCCCAAAACATCAGCTGAACTGCAACCAGAGGAACATTACAGTTTTCTTCTGACATACTTTATTGTAATACAAATATACACTATTTTACTATTCGTAGTATTTTATGGCATTTTTAAATACCAACTAAATGATTAATTAATTAAATAACAAATCACTTAATATTAAATGTTATATATTTAATATAATATTCAAAAATATATATATATATATATATACACACACACACACACACATATATAGAATACATTTAAAAATACATAATTTATTATATAAAATATTTAATATATTAAAATAGTATATATACACACATTAATGCATATTTTAATATAATACATATAAATATACTTTTAATTTTTCATATATATATATTTATACACACTCACATATATATATATATGGAAGTAAAATAATCCCAAATGTTTTTGAAACAAAAAGCCTGTTGAATTGTACTACTTGAAAAAAATATGCATTGCATTAACCCTGCTTGTATTTTAATGCATTGTATTTTTAGGGCTTGCATTTTTATAGGCTGAAATTTAGCATGGTTAAATATTTAAGCTGTGAATATTTCAAATCAAATCATTTCAAACACATTTTCATTAGTAAAATTTCAATAATCCATATTCACCTTTCATATTTCATTTCCCAAATATTCAAACTGATTAAAAATACAACCTATATTAAAGCTGCAAGCAGCGATGAAAGGGCCCTCGCACCCGTGCCACCGCCACCCGGTGGCTTTAGGAAGACAGAGCACGGTGGGCAGTATGTAAATATAGGGGGAATATGTTAAAGTAATTTGCCCCACCCAATTCTGAAACCCACATCACATGTACATTTTCACCACTTCTGAAGTGTGTGCAAAGTTTCATTAGTTTTCGAGCATGTTTAAGCTGGAGGACTATGTCAAAGTCATTTATTTTTATCACACTTCCTGCTACCAGCAGGTGGCGCTATTACAATAATCTAATATGAGGATGGTCATGTGTTCAGGACAGGACTCTTATCACACATGTGAAGTTTGGGGCAGATCGGACATTGTATGCCTGAGTTACTGCAGGCTGTCTGTGGTTGCCTAGCAACATCGGAACTGCATCATTTACACAGAAGTTATCTGATGATGCATATTTCACCCAGAGGCTGAAATTGGATTTGCACATCTACATTTTTGTCAGGCCGCCGAGGTCACATCCTTCGACGAAAACTCTAGATCTTCGCAATTTAACGTCGCAAAGGCCTTAAGATTAGACTGACAAAATATTATGTGGATCTGATTTAATCTCTAGGAGGAGTTCGTTAAAGTACAACATCAGGAAATTACGAAAAATGCACAAAATCTAGGAGGAAGTTCAAAATAGCTCACTTCCTGTTGTGTTTAGGGCTATGCTCCAAGAGACTTTTTTGTAGGTATTGGGTCATTACATGTATGTACCAAATTTCATACCTGTACGTGAAACGTAGAGCCGGGGCAAAATTTGGGGGCAATAATTTACCGAATTTGCCCCACCCAATTTTGAAAACCACATCACACGTAAATTTTCACCACTTCTGAAGCGTGTGCAAAGTTTCATGAGTTTTCGAGCATGTTTAGGCCCTCAAAAATGCAATTAATTTAGGAGAAGAAGAAGAAGAAGCGGAATAATAATAAACGGAGCAAAAACAATAGGGTCCTCTCACCATCGGTGCTCGGGCCCTAAATATTCAACAGGCGGTTTTCGGTCCATTTTATTTCGCTTTGCAAATTCGCTTCCACAAATTCAGTGGTTCAAATTCGACAGTAAATTCAACGTTGACATCCAGGAGCTGCAGGAAAAGTAGTAGATTACCGAGCATAATCTCCATCTGCTGTTAGTCGACCACACCAGCAGGGGGTGCAAGCGCGTGTCGTTGAGAAGACCAGAGCAACAGTTAGACTAGAGCAAGCCATTCATTCATAAAAACTTATTTACAAAAATGTAAGTGTATTTGTGATTATTATGACGTCTGTTTTATGTGAAATTCAGTGTGTTCACGATTACTTTTCCTGTGTAGCCTACATGCATCTTTCTCTACCATGAACGATAATGTTATTCCCCCGATGCGGATGTGCAGATCCAGTGTTACATTTGACATATTTCTCTTGGTTGTTTAGTTGCCTTAACCTTATATTGCAGTGATGTGCTGCATGCAGTACTAGGGTTTGGTTTCCCTCAATATGTCAGGATTCCCCTGCTGGACATATAAAACGCTTAACGTAGCTTAATGGACATAAAAGACCAAACTCGCAGGCTAGCAGATGGACTCAGAATATGAATTTAACGCGCAAAGTTTAATGCTGAGCGTTTCCCAGTGATATACTGGCATAAATTTGGTTTGACATTGGACATTCACACATTTAGGGACCGTCTCTAAAGTTACATACGACATTGGTATACACGTTTCTAACTTAAATACCATTTGAAAAGAACGACTTACAGTCATAAAGCCAACTGTAAAGTGTTCGTGTAGGTGTCAGGCTCAGGCATAATGCGCAATTTATTCAAATAGATTGAAGTTTGCTATTGAAGTTAGAAACGTTTAGGCCTATAGGACTTGTTACTTTAGAGACGGTCCCTAAATGTGCGAATGTCAACCCAATTTTACATTTAGTCTTTTAGCTGGCACTTTTATCCAAAGCGACTAGTTAAACTAACAATATAGAACAACAATATGAAAGTGCTACTTCCTAGTTTAATCTAATGCAGTACATGTACAATACATACTTTCCAAATAAGGTGCGAGTTTGGTCTTTTATATCACTGTAGTCCATTAAGCTACGTTAAGCGCTTAAGTCCTGACGGAATTCGGGGAATCTTTGAGTATGATGATGTATTGAGGGAAACAGATTATAATCCTGTTCACTGTAGAAAAGGCTGATAACATAAGGCTACACAGGGAAAGTAACAATGAATGAAACATAAAAACAGCTTTTGTGCCTTTAGATATCATCTTTTCCGCATATATACTGACCCAGATAATCGTCACAAAAAACGTAATGCATGCTGAGTTTTTATGAATGAATGGCTTGCTCTAGTCTAACTGTTGCTCTGGTCTTCTCAACGACACGCGCTTGCACCCCCTGCTGGTGTGGTCGACTAACAGCAGATGGAGATTATGCTCGGTAATCTACTGCTTTTCCTGCAGCTCCTGGATGTCAACGTTGAATTTCCTGTCGAATTTGAACCACTGAATTTGTGGAAGCGAATTTGCAAAGCGAAATAAAATGGACCGAAAACCGCCTGTTGAATATTATAGGTTGTATTTTTAATCAGTTTGAATATTTTGGAAGTGAAATATGAAAGGTGAATATGGATTATTGAAATTTTACTAATGAAAATGTGTTTGAAATGTTTTGATTTGAAATATTCACAGCTTAAATATTCAACCATGCTAAATTTCAGCCTATAAAAATACAAGCCCTAAAAATACAATGCATTAAAATACAAGCAGGGTTAATGCAATGCATATTTTTTTCAAGTAGTACAATTCAACAGGCTTTTTGTTTCAAAAACATTTGGGATTATTTTACTTCCATACATATATATATATATAACCAAACTCGCATATATATATATATATATATAAAAATTGTATATATAAATAAATAGATATTTTATTATATAAACATTTTATATAATATTACAATATTTAATGTAATATTAAAATAGATAAATCATATATACATTTTTATATAAAATTAAAATAGTATATATAAATAAAATACATATTTTATTATGTATATTAATACATATAAAAATACACTTTGACTACTTTGTCTTAATATGTTTTCTTATAAAGTTTCTAATATATATATATATATATATATATATTCTTATTATACATTTTTTTCTCATTTATATATATACACACATCACAAAATGGCCAAAGTGAATTCTAGGAGACGAGTTTTCAGTTGATGAACTCACCATCTTGTCTGACGAGGCCCTGCTGGATGTACCTGATGTAAGTGAAGAAGTTACACACCGCTGTGATCTGTGAGGAGAGAACACTGATGCATTAACCGCTCCTGAAATAAACATCTCGTCTACTGTTAGAGGGAGTGATATAGACACGTACCCGCGCTCTGCTAGACGGAGATATATAGTAGTAATTCTCTTTATCTCCCAGTTTGATGCGATGTCGGCAGGGGCGGGACATCCCGCTCAACGCACATTTACTGTTCAAGCAAAAGAGAACACTGGGCAATGAAGCTGTCAATCAAATCACGGAACACTCTTAACGGCCAATGAGACACAAGCAGGACAGAATGATACACCAGGCATTCACGCCATGTCGTAATTACCAGATTTCTATTAAAAAAATGAACCAATAAACATTCTCCAGACAGATAGGGAGGGACTGACGATATGATGTGTTGGTGTAAAACAGGATTTCATGCACATTTGGTTCTTGGAATCACTTACGTTTCTATCGGTGTCCGGCAACCGCTGTGAAAACAACCCCAAATCAAACAGTGATTAAAGTGTGATTAAAGTGCGATTAAAGTGCGATTAAAGCGTGACTTCCAAGATCAAAGTGCAATTGCTCTGATTTACAGTGTGTATTTGTCGCCCCCAGGCAGAATTTAAAGAGGGTCCCACATGCTACATGTCAAATCCAAGGATTTTAACTTTAGTCAGGATTGTCCCGAGCGTTAGCCAGGTGAAGCAGTCAGAAAGAGGTGTTGGTATGAAGATATGAAGTGTTTATGCACTCAAGCATGCAGTATTGGGAAATGTAGGCCATGCATGTCATCAAATAGAGTTATTCTCTATATCAGTGTCACTTTCTGAACTCCCTGAAACGCCTCCATTGTAGTCTTGAGTCTCTCCCGGGAACAAATCTCAATATTCCTCATTATAATAATTAATACGCAGAATAAAGGGGCGGGGCCTGGTTGAGTTAGTAGTGTGTTAACCTGGCGGTTATGGAAAGGGGCGGGACATTTCCCAAACACACTCGAAGCAGTTGACCAATCACAACACACTGATCCAGCCGACCAATCAGAGCACAGTGTGCTTTTCAGAAGGAGGGGCTTCATACGAGACAGGAACTAAACAGAGCGTTACTGACAGACTGGGAAGAGAGGAGCCGCAACAATGGAGAATATAAGACAAAAAAGTGTTTCTTGAACACTCAAGCGTGCAAACCTATTCTAGTAAAGCCCAAAAGAAACCCCTTTAAAAAGAAATAAAACAATGCTCACGTAACTAAACTGTTTGCGTTCACATACCTTTTCATTTTTCAGTTAAAAACTCAATTGGATTTGTCATTATATAAATAACGAAAAGCAATGGACATTATTTGAAAAAGTGTAGTATTATCGGTCTAAATTTCAGTAAAATGCATGCACGATTCTACATTTCTTAAATCGGCCAAAAGTGTGAAACAAGGTGACGGATGTGTTTTGTGTTTACAGAGTTACCATGAGTCCATCCGTGACTTACTTGGGTCCTCCACACTCGATGTCTTTGACCGTGGGCAGCGACGACATCGCTACAGGCTCGATGGTGAGAGAGTTGTTCTCCACCGCGCACTGGACAGACTGAGACAACTGGAGGAAAACCACGAGAGAAGGTCTGAGAGAACGGAAAACACACAGATAGCAGAGCTGATGTACACTGGCGTACCTCAGAACATGTGAATGAGAGGCAGGGTCCGATATCTTCCCTGAACACCCTGCTGATGAACGCCGAGGAGCGGTCCAGACCCGGCTTCTCCTTCCACGAGAGGAACTCCGCGAACAACACCGAGTCCAGCTACATCACAGAAGAGTTCCTTTATGCTTTTAACCACTCAATGAATTCATGCTCTTTTTTTAAAAATGTGTTGATTGCTATTTTGTTTTGTTTCTCTGCTGAAAAAAGCTGGTTTGCTGCTCCAGGATATTTTAGTATAGTTGGTAAGACTCTACAATTAGGTCCCATTAATTCACTAAAAAAAGCAATATAATGCAATACATTTATTACAGTACAGTATTATCTTTGTATTATCAGTGAATAAAAACACAGCTGTTCATTGTTAGCTCAGGTCCATTAAATAATATTAACAGGTACAATTTTTGATTTTAATAATGTATTAGTAAATGTTGAAATTGACATTGATTAATACACACTTTAGAGGTATGTTAGTGTGACTATTATTTATATACTACTAAAGTATTTATTAATATTTTGAATTAGATTTTATTTTTATATTTTCATTTTAGTTTAAGTTCTAGTAATTGTGTTATGTGTTTTTGTAATTTTTTGGCATTTTTTTTATCTAATATTTATATTTTATTTCAGCTTTATTTCAATTAACGAAAATGATTTTTAATAGTTTAAGTTGACAAGGGGAGTTTTGGGTATTTGACAACTGCCCAGGACCAGCAAACCACTTTTTGGGCTGGATTAAAAAGGTTTTTTTTTAGGGTTTTTTTCACCAGGGAAATAAAGCAAGCAAGAAAGAAAAATAAGTTCTAAAGTTCTAATTTGTAACCCTTTGTACCCTGTTGCCATAGAGAGAGTTCACACACAGGTCACACTGACCAGCTGACCAGGAATCAGACACACAGTATCAGACAGAGGAGAACAGGAACTGCACAGATCAGAGAAATACAGGCCGAGGAGGAAAAGAGAGGAAGAACAGCAGGAAATCAGTGAAGGTACAGTAACACAGTGATCAAACTTTCATCATGCAGGTACAGACCAACACTAGTGTCTAAAAGCCAGTAGTGTTGTCAAAAGTACCGACTTCGGTACCAAGCATCATTGATGTATATTTACAATATGTTTTTGAAGCGCTGATCATTTTAGCCAATCACAGACATATCCGATGAGCGCGTGAAAACAATGGCCAATGTACCGAAGTCGGTACTTTTGACAACACTATAGGCCGGAGATCTTGTCCAGCAGAGTGTTTGTACCTCTCTGTCCTCCCGGTTTGTCGCTGCGTCGGTCGGCAGTGGCTCCGCCTGCAGCTGGAGGGCTCCGCTGGCGCTCTTGTTGCGCGTGTGGCCCCGGGCCCGGCTGGAGCCCGGAGACAGCAGCTGAGGGTGGAGCTGGCGGTTCGGGGAGGAGGGCGTAGAAGTCAACACCAGGGTTTTCAGAGCAGAGACCTCCGCCTGCAGGACGTCAATCTGAGACGACAGATGTGCAGAAAGAGTGAGCATAGAGTGAGACAGACAGAGAAACACAGAAAGAGTGACACAGAAAGAGTGAGACAGACAGAGTAACACAGAAAGAGTGAGACAGACAGAGTAACACAGAAAGAGTGAGACAGACAGAGTGACACAGAAATAGTAAGCAGATAGTGAGACAGACAGAGTGACACAGAAAGAGTGAGACAGACAGAGTGACACAGAAATAGTGAGCAGATAGTGAGACAGACAGAGTGAGACAGACAGAGTAACACAGAAAGAGTGACACAGAAAGAGTGACACAGAAATAGTGAGCAGATAGTGAGACAGACAGAGTGACAGAAATAGTGAGCAGATAGTGAGACAGACAGAGACAGACAGAGTGAGACACTCAGGACGTCAATCTGAGACGACAGATGTGCAGAAAGAGTGAGGAGAGAGTGACGCAGAAAGAGTGAGACAGAAAAAGTGACACAGAAAGAGTGAGACTGACAGTGTGACAGACAGAGTGAGTGAGACAGATAGAGTGAGACAGAGAGACAGAAAGAGTGAGACAGACAGTGTGACACAGAAAGAGTTTGACAGACAGTGTGAGACAGACAGTGAGAGACAGATAGAGTGAGACAGAGAGACAGATAGAGAGAGTTAGGCAGATAGAGAGACAGACAGAGAGACAGAAAGAGTGAGACAGACAGTGTGAGACAGAAAGAGTGAGCAGACAGTGAGACAGACAGAGTAACACAGAAAGAGTGAGACAGACAGTGTGAGACAGAAAGAGTGAGCAGACAGTGAGACAGACAGAGTAACACAGAAAGAGTGAGACAGACAGTGTGAGACAGAAAGAGTGAGCAGAGAGTGAGACAGACAGAGTGAGCAGAGTGAGACAGAAAGGGTGAGCAGAGACTGAGACAGACAGTGTGACACAGAAAGAGTGAGACAGACAGTGTGACACCGACAGAGTGAGCAGAGAGTGAGACAGAAAGAGTGAGCAGAGACTGAGACAGACAGTGTGACACAGAAAGAGTGAGCAGAGAGTGAGACAGAAAGAGTGACACAGAAAGAGTGAGACAGACAGTGTGACACCGACTGAGTGAGCAGAGAGTGAGACAGACAGTGTGACACAGAAAGACTGAGCAGAGAGTGAGACAGAAAGAGTGACACAGAAAGAGTGAGACAGACAGTGTGACACCGACAGAGTGAGCAGAGAGTGAGACAGACAGTGTGACACCGACAGAGTGAGCAGAGAGTGAGACAGACAGTGTGACACCGACAGAGTGAGCAGAGAGTGAGACAGACAGTGTGACACCGACAGAGTGAGCAGAGAGTGAGACAGACAGTGTGACACCGACAGAGTGAGCAGAGAGTGAGACAGACAGTGTGACACCGACAGAGTGAGCAGAGAGTGAGACAGACAGTTTGACACAGAAAGACTGAGCAGAGAGTGAGACAGAAAGAGTGACACAGAAAGAGTGAGACAGACAGTGTGACACCGACTGAGTGAGCAGAGAGTGAGACAGACAGTGTGACACAGAAAGACTGAGCAGAGAGTGAGACAGAAAGAGTGACACAGAAAGAGTGAGACAGACAGTGTGACACAGACAGAGTGAGCAGAGAGTGAGACAGACAGTTTGACACAGAAAGACTGAGCAGAGAGTGAGACAGAAAGAGTGACACAGAAAGAGTGAGACAGACAGTGTGACACCGACTGAGTGAGCAGAGAGTGAGACAGACAGTGTGACACAGAAAGACTGAGCAGAGAGTGAGACAGAAAGAGTGACACAGAAAGAGTGAGACAGACAGTGTGACACAGAAAGACTGAGCAGAGAGTGAGACAGAAAGAGTGACACAGAAAGAGTGAGACAGACAGTGTGACACCGACTGAGTGAGGAGAGAGTGAGACAGACAGTGTGACACAGAAAGAGTGAGCAGAGAGTGAGACAGAAAGAGTGACACAGAAAGAGTGAGACAGACAGTGTGACACCGACTGAGTGAGCAGAGAGTGAGACAGACAGTGTGACACAGAAAGACTGAGCAGAGAGTGAGACAGAAAGAGTGACACAGAAAGAGTGAGACAGACAGTGTGACACCGACAGAGTGAGCAGAGAGTGAGACAGACAGTGTGACACCGACAGAGTGAGCAGAGAGTGAGACAGACAGTGTGACACAGAAAGACTGAGCAGAGAGTGAGACAGAAAGAGTGACACAGAAAGAGTGAGAAAGACAGTGTGACACCGACAGAGTGAGCAGAGAGTGAGACAGACAGTGTGACACCGACAGAGTGAGCAGAGAGTGAGACAGACAGTGTGACACAGAAAGACTGAGCAGAGAGTGAGACAGAAAGAGTGACACAGAAAGAGTGAGACAGACAGTGTGACACAGAAAGACTGAGCAGAGAGTGAGACAGAAAGAGTGACACAGAAAGAGTGAGACAGACAGTGTGACACCGACTGAGTGAGGAGAGAGTGAGACAGACAGTGTGACACAGAAAGAGTGAGCAGAGAGTGAGACAGAAAGAGTGACACAGAAAGAGTGAGACAGACAGTGTGACACCGACTGAGTGAGCAGAGAGTGAGACAGACAGTGTGACACAGAAAGACTGAGCAGAGAGTGAGACAGAAAGAGTGACACAGAAAGAGTGAGACAGACAGTGTGACACCGACAGAGTGAGCAGAGAGTGAGACAGACAGTGTGACACCGACAGAGTGAGCAGAGAGTGAGACAGACAGTGTGACACAGAAAGACTGAGCAGAGAGTGAGACAGAAAGAGTGACACAGAAAGAGTGAGAAAGACAGTGTGACACCGACAGAGTGAGCAGAGAGTGAGACAGACAGTGTGACACCGACAGAGTGAGCAGAGAGTGAGACAGACAGTGTGACACAGAAAGACTGAGCAGAGAGTGAGACAGAAAGAGTGACACAGAAAGAGTGAGACAGACAGTGTGACACCGACAGAGTGAGCAGAGAGTGAGACAGACAGTGTGACACCGACAGAGTGAGCAGAGAGTGAGGCAGACAGTGTGACACCGACAGAGTGAGCAGAGAGTGAGACAGACAGTTTGACACAGAAAGACTGAGACAGACAGTGTGAGACAGAAAGAGTGAGAGAGTGAGACAGACAGAGAGACAGATAGAGAGAGACCGACAGATAGACAGACAGACAGCACCTTGCCCTGCGCCTCCTTCAGCTGTTTCTCCGCCGCCGCCTGCTTCACGTTGGCCTCTCGCACCATCTTATGAGCCTCCTAAAGATGAACACACAGGTTTGTGACAGAATTTTACGAATGTTTTTATAACTAACTTTTTATTTATTGATTTAATAAACATTTTGAGATTACATTAAATATTTTTACATTAAAAATTAATTATAATATGTTTTATTCAGGGCTTGACATTAACACAAGCTAAATGTGTGTGTATTTCAGCAGTGGTGTTTAACGCAGTCAGTCCTACTAGCTTTGGCGGGTTTCAGTTTGTATAATACATTTTTTTCAATTGTAGTCTTTTAAAAAGGCATCTGAAATAATAAATATATAGTAGTGCAATATAGTGTTGTCAATTATATCGATTTTTCAATACTGAAATATCTGAAACGCTTGATATTTATTTTCGGACAGAATAGATACAGGATATCAGCTGCTCTTTCTCTCTCTCTCTCATCTCAGCGAGTGACACACAAACCCGCCTCTCCTCACTCATTCTTTCATTTGCCTCGGATGAATATTGTTGGTGTTACAGGGCTTGTGGGATTGTTCATAATTTTACTCATTCCTGCAGATTTTGTGCTCACAGGACTAAATTGAATTTGTTTTGTCTTATTGCGCTTAATATACACACCTAATAATTTCAAAATGCCTGTCTTGGCGAGTATTCACGTAAACACAGTCAGAAAACTCATGTGTAACAGTATAATGGATCCGTGCGTCAGGTCTTATCAGGCCTAATATACTGACTGCCAAATTATGAGATAATATTAAAAATATCTATATTGCAGTTTTTCCCCATGGTATCGATGTCATAATTGTGGCCAGTGAAACTGCGGAGTGGCTAGTAACTATTTTCAATTGTGAAATAATTTTTATAATAAAAATGAATTTGTCACACAACAGGACCATTTAAAATGAGATTATGAAGGCAAGTTGATTATTAAGAAACAGTGACCAGTTAGATGACCACTTTTCCTCATTAATGTTAACCTAATATAATGTAATAAAACCATCCATGAGCATGTCATGTTTTTTATGGCACACATATTAGTCTCACTATTGAAATCTACATCACCACACAATAGTCCTCTATATCCAGTGATGTCACATTAGTCCCGCCCACCTCAAACAGACTGGCGGTCAGTTCCTCCAGTTCCAGCTCGAGCTGATTCCTGACATGAGCCAGTCTGACACACTCCTCGTCTTTCAGCTTCAGCTCCTGAAAACACAGACAACGCTCAATAAAACAGAACTGAACTGAATAGGAGAACATTTGAATGATTCGTTCATATTTCCAAGCAGTTCACATTCATGTACATTAATGTCTATATCGTCTTGGAAAATAATAAATAACTAACGGGCACCAGCATCATTAGATAGAATAATAAAACAATAAATAAGTTTAATAAAATAATAAAAATGTATTTAAAAATAACTATAATGACCAGACGTACAGTATCTCCATCATTGAACTGTTGACACTGCTGCTGTTTTGTTTGACTGACTTGGCAACAGTCAAATGAGTGACGTTGTAGGCTAGTTTACAAAAAAAACTTCATTTCCAACTTGCAATTATGGTTTGACAAAGACATGAGCAGTTATTACTACTCTGAAACACATCATTTGTAACCTGAAACCGTGTGCTGGAGCTTTAAAGATCCGAAACACTGATCTGAAGAACCTACAATGAAACATCAAGACCCTTTTTCTTAGCTAACTGTAAAGTTCCCCCAAAACATTACTTTTAATAGTTGAGAATAGAATGGAATAGAACGGAATGCAATAGATCAGAATAGAATGGAACGGAATATAATGGAACGAAATAGAATGGAATAGAATGGAACAGAATAGAATGGAACGGAATAGAACGGAATAGATCGGAACAGAATGGAACGGAACGGAATAGAATGGAATAGATCGGAACAGAATAGAATGGAATAGATCGGAACAGAATGGAATAGAGTAGAACGGAATAGAATAGATCGGAACAGAATAGTACGGAATAGAATGGAATAGAATAGAACGGAATAGAATAGATCGGAAAAGAATGGAATAGAATAGAACGGAGTAGAATAGAATAGATCGGAACAAAATAGAATGGAATAGATCAGAACAGAATGGAATAGAATAGAACAGAATAGAATGGAAAAGAATAGAACATGTGGCACCTTCTGTGCAGCATCCAGCTGGTCTCTGAGGAACTCTGTTCCCTTCTCCTTGATCTCCAGAGAGGAACTCCGCAGACGGGACATGTCGTAGGTCTCGTGTCTGTGTGCTCCTGCCTCCTCCGGGGGCTTCTTCTTCCTCTGCCCCCCATCACCCCCCAATCCGGGGCTCGGCTCTGGCTCCAGGTCGACCAATCTGCAGAAGCACAATTATGATTATTTTATGGTCACAATGATTTGGTCCAAAACCGTGTGAATGTGGCCTATATGAAAACTCAAGTGGAAAGAGATTTTTTTTTTTTTTTTTACTCTGTTCACTTTATAGTTTATAAATTCTGTCATCATTTACTCGTCCTCAAGTTCGAGTTTCTTTCTTCTGTTAAACACAGAAGCAAATATTTTGAAGAATGTTAGTGACTAAACAGTTGATGGGACTTCCATATATATATATATATATATTTTAAAATATGTATGTCATCAACTGTTTGGTTACCCATATTCTTCAAAATATCTTCTTTTGTCTGCAGCAGAATAAATAAACTCATACAGGTTTGGAACAACTTAAAGACAAGTAAATGATGACAAAATATTAATTTTTGGGTGATCAGTCGCTTTAAGTTGGTTCCTGTAAAGATTACACTTTATGAACACACTTTCCCCCCCGAATCGTTCAGCCCGAGGATATCACACTCTCATATATCACAAGGATATCACAAGTCTTCAGAGAAAAATATGATTATAGGATAGTAACCCTCAAATAGACCCCACTGTGATTCCTAACTGTCCTTATTAATAGCCAATAAGAAGATCCCATAAAATCCCAACAAGAATCGCACGCAAATTAATCCAGTCATGAAAATATAACGCCACACCCTTCTTCATATAGTATAAATGAGCTGCTTGTGGGTGAATTAATAAACGCTCGTGTGTGATTATGATCAGAATCAGCCCCGTTTATGTAAGTCATCGCTCCGTGGCAGTCGCGGCATTTCCCGTGTGCACTCCCCGCCCTTCCCCTCCCCTCGCCCGGCTACAGGACTCACCGCGACCCGCTGACGACAACACAGACAATGAAACAATAACAAAGTTAACTAACAAAGTTACAGTGTTGCAGAATTGCAGCGCCGCTTCCTGAAATAAAGAGTAAGAAAAGTACCAGTAGATCCCGCTGAGGTTTCCCGAACACGACTGAGCTCTATAGCAGAAATCAGATCAGATAAACACTCCGGAATCCGGATCCGAGAGACAAATCTGTGTTTAGATTGGGTTTGTTTTGGGTAGGACAGTCAGATAGACTTTCCTCTGAGATTGAGCAGGAAAAATGTCCAGCTGTCAATCACGGGTCACATGACTCAGTGGAGGCATCCAGGAATCACGTGATGTGCCCCAAACAAATGATTCTATTCTGTATGTTATGTCCTCTGTTCTGTTTTGTATGTCATGTTATGTTTTTATTTATGTTAGCCTATATTGTTTGTTCAGATCTAACATGTTTGTTCTGTTATTTTTGTATTTTGTATTATATTGTTTGTATAGTTCTGTTATGTAATGTTTGTTCCATTCTGTGTATGTTGTTATGTTAAGTTATGTTATTTTTTTGTTATATTGTTCAGTTTTGGTATCTAATGTTTGTTTCATTCTGTTATGCTGTGTATGTTATATTATGTTGTTATGTTATGTAATGTTTTGTTATTGTTGTTATGTTATGTTATTGTTGTTATGTTATGTTATATATTACTTAAAAGTTCCTAATTCTGATGACTTTCACACATTGATATTGTGTGTACAGTTCTGTGTATTCAGCAGAATTAGAGATTACATCCTCTTTTTCATTCTCTAAAATATTTGTGGGTGGAAGATTTTGCTCTGTCACCATTTTTTTTAACAGTTTTTACACAACATTAGACCGGATGTTGTTAAAGCTATAGTATCAAAACAAAGATAGTATTACTATGGTATTTGTGTTTAGGTGAAGTCTGGACGTACCTCCCGACCGGACATCTCTCTTCCTCTGCTGTGTGCTGATCCGTAAGATCGGCATTCCCGAAGAACGTAGGTGAGGAGTACACTGCTATCCCAGAATTCCCTGCCACCAGCAGCTCGTACCCTGGGACAGACCGGGACCGTGCAGGAGGAGAGCAGGAGAGCTGCACACGGTGGATTCCTTCAAAAATGTCCATCACGGAAAGTATATTCACTCAAACACACACACACACACACACTTCAGTTGCGTTTCTCACAGCCAGCCTGTTAAAGACACGAGAGATTACATTCAAGTTCAGAGATGAAGACATTGTAGTTTTTCCTGCATGCTTCACTGATAAAGTTTCCATTCAGTTGATCAAAGTGTAACTAAAGCATTGCACCATAACCTCATGTTTGCCACAGTGTAGTCAGTTAAATATCTACCTAACATGCTCTCGAGAGACTTAACGGAAAGTATTTAACCATAGAAACGGACAAATAGTCGATCTACAACATTTATCCTTATTATTTAAATATAAAATAATAAATAGAGTAGTGGTCGAAAGTGATGTCTGGAGGCGATATTTGATTTTAATGACCCTACAAGTTCATTTGAACCATCAAAATATGAGGGAAAAAAATAATATTTTTAATAAGTTAATTAGGGATATATCTATACAGGTGAAACTCGAAAAATTAGAATATGGTGCAAAAGTTCATTTATTTCAGTAATTCAACTTAAAAGGTGAAACTAATATATTATATAGACTCATTACATGCAAAGTGAGATATTTCAAGCCTTTATTTGTAATAATTTTGATGATTATGGCTTACAGATATGAAAACCTTTTCACAATATTCTAATTTTGAATTTGGGGTTTTCATAAGCTATAAGCCATAATCATTAAAATTATAACAAATAAAGGCTTGAAATATCTCACTTTGGATGTAATGAGTCTATATAATATATTAGTTTCCCCTTTTAAGTTGAATTACTGAAATAAATGAACTTTTGAACGATATTCTCATTTTTCGAGTTTCACCTGTATAGATATAAACATGAAACCACAGTGCTTTGATATATGCTGATTACCATGATATACAATGGTATTTTCAAGTTAATTATAAGAATACCATGGTATTACCTTGATAATAAATTATATAAGGTATTTCAATATTTAAAAATTACATTAAATGAAGAAGAAATAATAATAATCTTTATCCTGCAGTCAGTGACATTGATAGTTGCTTTTAACAGAGAGAGTGAAGTGTAAGTGTCATTTCTAATTGTGCCATATATAATCAGATGCATTACAAAGTCTCAGTCCTTTCCCTGTCAAATACAAGCACAGAGCGCATCAGATAAATAAGTCTTACCACAGTGATCATGTGTGTCTCTCCATTCCCGTGAAACACACACTCAGATGCTGTTTTCAAGAACGGTTGCAAGTCTTCACGTTGGTTGTTTCAACCCTGACCGAAGTCCCGGCTCGTGTGTTCAGGCAGGGGTTAATGAAACACACCGGGGCATTTCCTCCACTAGAGGGCCCCACACAGAGCCTGAACACCCTGCTGAGGGCCTCACCATCAGAAAGTGTTTAACGGAGCCTGAACTCCTCATGGATCATCATTTAGGAGTGGTTGAATATGGACATCATATTTACATTACATAACTGCAATTAATGCATGCCTCTATTGATCGAGATGAATATGTGTGAGTGTTTGTGTTTTGAGTTTTGAAAGATTTGCAGAGATTAACAAACCCCCCAGTTTTCCACAATGCCTCTTTGTTAGTGGAAAACAGATTAGCAGGTCAAGTGACCGGAGGTGTGGGCGTCTCATGCTCTCCTCGACTCCATCCTTCCTTCTTAACGGTTCCGGCAACTCACACAACATCACACGCTGTGAGTAGAGTTGCTTATTTCTCATTTGAGGCCTACAGACGAGGAATAGTAAGCAGTTGCATTTGCTACATTGGATTCACAGTCTCGTGTTTCTCTTTTAAAGCTCGTTTTGCTTCATTTTACCCATGCATGCATTTGAATATAATTGCAATCAGTTTAGGTGTTGCTGCATGCTAACTATCATCAAACTAGCATGTGATCTGTGTGTGTGTGTGTGTGTGCACTGTGATTCAGTGCTGAGCACGCATGTGTAGCTGTCCATCCTTGTCTGTAAGAACTGAAGGTGAAAGGTCAAGGCTGTGAGGCTCGTCAGAGATGACGGTCACGTACTCACAGCAGGTCGCAGACGCGCGTCTGGGCACCTTCTATCGTCTCCTGCTGCGATGGAAGGGAAGCATCTATAAGCTGCTGTATCCAGAGCTGCTGATCTTCACTGTGATGTACTGCACTATTAGCGTCACGTACAGGTAAACACTGATCATTCACCTCTTTACTACAGTTTTACTGCCTCTATAGTGGTGCTACTATAGTAAAATAATGCTATCACAGGTATTTATGGTGCTTTCCCATGATATTCCCACTTACTGTACATTTGGGACTTACAGTCCCAGTTACTGTACATTTAAAAAGCACCTTAAACAGCTTCTTAAAAGTTCCTAGTTATGTCCTCATTTTGACTAATTTTATTGATACAATGTATTCTGCTAATGTGTTTCTTGCTTGATATTGTATATTGTCATATTCTACTGTTGCATTATTTTATATGTTGTTGTTTTCCTGCCTCGGGACTACAGGTGAAAATTTACAGTCTTTACAGAAATGTTAGATTGTCCATTAATGTGCACTGTCCCGAATATTCAATGACCTACAAATCATGTTTTTTGTTTTTCTACGTCCAAGAATATCATGGTACCACATCCAAAATATAAAAAATTATCATAATATTACCATTTGATATCATCATGGTACCGCCACAGTATATTTTTGTAAGGAGATGCATTTACAGAAAAGTGCTATCATATTTTTTGGGGGACGTGGTATTTGTTAGTTGTTTTTTTATATTTAGCATAGTAGTAGCATATTATATCAGGAAGTGTATTGTAGTTGCATGGAAATACCCTGATACATTAATTTCAGAACCAACTCTACAGATGTCACATTTGTACAATGCACTTTTTTGGTACTTCAAAGAATATTTTAAAGAATACTATGGTAAAAAAAAAAAAGTATATTGAAAATATAGTAATACTATCGTAGTGTAATATTACCAGGATACTAAATAATTACTATTAATATGCCATGGCATTAGTTAATATGGTACATGTCCAAAAAACATGATAATACCATGGTACTTTGATACTATGGTAGTAAATGATTACCATGGTATATTCACGTTTCAAGCTAATGCAAATAATTGAATGCCATCACCATGTTTCTTTACTTTTTTACATTTACCATAGTAGTAGATAAGTATAGTATTTCTGTAACTACATTAGAATACCATAGTACATTAATTTCAGTACTAATGGTATATTTCAAAGTAACATATGATACCATAATTGCACCATGATGCTACCCCGGTACTTTTTTGTAAGGGTAAACTTTATATGGTCCTCCAAAAAGTATTTTTAAAAATACAATGGTAAAAATAACAGTAATACTATGATACTTTAATATTACCAGCGTACTAAAAAATGACTATTGGCTATTCATATATACCATGACTTTTGGTCATATGGTACATGTCCAAAAAAACATGATAATACAGCGATACTTTGATATACTGTGGAACTAAATAGTTGCATATGCATATACCATGGTATTTTCAAAATACTGCAAAACTGGGATGGTATAACCTACCATGGTGTTACCATTGTACTATGTCCAAAAAACATGATAATACTACCATGTACTGCGATACTAAATGATTACCAAATCCATTTATCATGATTTTTATTGTTCTTCAAGTTACTGAAAATAATTTAATGGTATTACCATGGTATATCTAAATGTTACCATCCGAAAAACCATGTTAAGGCCATATATTTTTGCTAGTGTTGTTTATGAGTGTAGAATATCGTTCAAATGTCCACAGTGTCAAAAGGCTTTACTTTGACTATTGTTATATAATAAAAGCCGCCGGTATTTAAGTGAGCGCTGTTTGATTGACAGGTGTATTCTGACTGAAGAGCAGCGCAGGATGTTTGAGAAGCTCTCCATGTACTGTGATCAATACGCTCAACTCATCCCGGTGTCCTTCGTTCTGGGTAAATGCTTTCTTTCTTCGGATTAAAACAATACTCGAGTCTTTAATGAGAATGTCCTCACAGATGAAAGTGCCCTGCAGGTTTTTTTTTATTTCTAATTTTTTTTATTTTTTTTTATTGCGAATGAAAGGATACAGACATTAACAGTGAAAAGCGATTTAAAAAAAAAAAAAAAAACGGACACATTATAAGAGATTGAATTAGGCTACACAAATCAATACAATATTACATTTTGTCAAATGAAAACTGTCACCGTCCCACATAATATTTTAAAAACAATAATATCTTAGTAAAAATCTTAAGTAATATTGACAAACTATATATCATTTGAAAGCTTACAATCTCTAGTTTCCATATTTGGTGACTGATTTTCAAAATAAATTACAGAGGAGCCGTAATTTATCAATTTGCAACGAATATTTTCATACTCCTAAGGCGTGTTCAGACCTTTATTTTGAAATAGCGATGAACATGAAAAATCATAAAAAAAATGGTAGAAACCTCAGTTTGTTTTCATGCCAAAAGTTCAAAAGATAGGATCCATTCAATTATTTTAGAAAAAAAGGTCTGAAAATGTTTTAAATATAAAGAATTTTTTTTAAATATAAATTCACCATTTGTGATGTGGCACCGAGCTATAACGCACATGCGTGTTCTTTGTATGTTTCTTAGAGGTTGAATTCATATCAAAATCTACCAAACTTCCCATACTACTTCTGAATAGGATGTCTACTTCATAAATTGTATGAAAATTGTGGAAATAATGGTTCAGATCACTCAAAACACATGGAAATGAAGGCAGTAATGGAGTCTGGTTGTGCCCTAGTGGAAGCGTTCGGTACTGCGCCCAAACAAAATCTCACTGAAAGCTCATTATTTGAGATATCAACCTAAAATTTTAAACACAACTTGTTCCAATTTTTGGCTTTGATTTTTCTGCAGTTTTAGAGTAGCCCAGGTTTTGAAAATATATATTTGATATAAAATATGAATAATAATTTGTTTACATTGTACATTTCCATGAACTCAAACTTTCTCAAACTTTTTTTCTGTCTCACTTAATTTATTTCACTTCTTCAAAAATCTGCCAAATGTCTTCAATAAAACAAGACCAATCTTACGTCTATATTCCAAAGCATTCAAGTTCGAAATGTGCATTTTCATGTCTATTCAAAAAAAGGGGGGTGACACTTAAAACAGGTTAAAACAGACTCAAGGATATTATTTGTTTTAGAAACCTTTGAGTTCAAGGGTTTTGAGGAGGATATTCTAAAATCAGCATTACTCCTGCAGGTTTCTACGTGACTCTTGTGGTGTCTCGTTGGTGGGGTCAGTTCGAGAGCGTCCCGTGGACGGACCGCCTGTCAGCGCTGGTCAGTGGACACGTCCGGGGCGCAGATGAAGGGGCCAGACTCGTTCGCAGGAGTCTCATGCGTTACGCTAATCTGTCCGGCATCCTGATCTACCGCTCCATCAGCACCGCTGTGTACAAGCGCTTCCCCACCATGAGCCACCTGGTTCAAGCAGGTAAACCGCACTCCGGAAACGATTTGGGCAAAGTAATGTGGCCTAGAACAGCGATTAAAGCCATGTTTTGTGCCGGTACCCTCCGGTGTCTGGGATTTAAACTCAGAGAGGAAAGGAAGGAATTACAGCAGATTCCCAAGAGCTTTAGCAACAGTTTTAGAAATAGTTCATTCAAACATGAAAATCCTGTCATGATCTAACTTGCCCTCATGTCGTTCCCTAATGGCGGTCACAACAATGTAAACTCAGGACAAACTTACCTTTTACAAATTGCAAATGATTTCATGACTATGTTTTATTTTATTACGTGTAATCTGCAAATAATTTAATTAAATATGAAGGCTTGGCAACTAGGTCAATTAGAAGCTATTAAATCATACCTGTCAACACTCCCGTTTTTCCCGGGTTTCTCCCGTTTTTTAGCCCTATCTCCCGGACCCCTCCCGGTTTGTTATTTCTCCCGGGAAACTCCCGTAATTTGCATGGCCCAAACTCCTTTATGAATAATCGGACCAATATGTTTGTCTAATGTTGACCAGTTGCCAGATTGTATTAAATGCAGTATATTCAAACAATCCACAGACCATTTACAATTTTAACCCGTTTGTCACCTCAACCTGGCAACATATAACAGCCCGTTCTCATCCCAAAGCGTAATATACTGACTCTTTTGCCAAAGCGTCTATATCCAACGCACATGGCACCCTTTAGCGTCATATGAGACGCAGATATATGGCGCCTCCTAGTGGTCTAACACTACCCCAGACCTAAACCTACCCAAAACCGAAGCGTGTTATATTGACGCTAAAGGGTGCCATGTGCGTTGGATATAGACCAGGGATGGGCGACTTCGGTCCTTGAGGGCCATTGTCCCTACAGAGTTTAGCTTCAACCCTAATCAAACACACCTGAACAAGCTAATCAAGGTCTTCAGGATTACTAGAAAGTTACAGGCAGGTGATTTTTTCAGGGTTGGAGCTAAACTCTGTAGGACAGTGGCCCTCCAGGACCGAAGTTGCCCAAGCTGGTGTGTGGTGAGCGTTCTGGCGCACTATGGCTGCCGTCGCATCATCCAGGTGGATGCTGCACACTGGTGGTGGTTGAGGAGATTCCCCCTTCTGTGTAAAGCGCTTTGAGTGCCGAGAAAAGCGCTATATAAATGTAATGAATTATTATTATTATTATCCCTGATATAGACGCTTTGTCAAAAGAGTCAATATATTACCCTTTGGGATGAGAATGCGTTGCATATAACCCAGTTGTGTAGTCGCGGAAAGTTTAACCCGAAAGCGAGCCGATAGACATGATGGCAGGTGAAGGTGGTGTCCCCGCAATGAAACTGAAGTACAGTTTGTAACGCGTCGCTTCAGGAAGATTAGGGATAGCTCACAACTGAAGTTATTGCATGCAGAGGCCAGACAGACACACGGAGGCGATTGGCATCACAACTCGCACTTTATTCCCAAATCCAACTCGTGTAGCCTAACTGTCTGTCACACGTTCTACCGTCCACATCGTTATTTAATAAACAAAATAAGAAAAAAATTAGCATCAAACAGAAATTACTCGCATTCATGGGGTGTTCGCATAGACAGTAAGAGGGGTGTTCGAGGCCCAAGGCACATAAAATACAATACTGCCGACAGTTCAACAGGGAGCGCACAGCTCTTAAAGGGGCCACACCTTATTTCCATTCGTTACAAGCTGTACAGTTACCCCAACCCCCCCCCCCCCCCCCCCTCCCCCTCCCCCGCCGGAGAAATCTCCCGGATTTTGAAAACCAAATGTTGACAGGTATGTATTAAATGTCATTCTTCTTTTTGTAACACACACACACACGCACGCTACACACACACACACACACACACACACACACATCTAGTGCACTCCTATCTAGTGTACTCCCTATGTAGTGTACTATCTAGTGTACTCCCTATCTAGTACTCTAGATAGGGAGTGCACTATATAGGGAGTACACTAGGAGTGCACTAGATAGGGAGTGCACTAGATGCACTAGATAGGGAGTACACTTCATAGGGAGTGCACTAGATAGGGAGTGCACTAGATAGGGAGTGCACTAGATAGGGAGTACACTAGATAGGGAGTACACTAGACACTAGATAGGGAATGCACTAGATAGGGAGTGCACTAGATAGGGAGTGCACTAGATAGGGAGTACACTAGATAGGGAGTACACTAGATAGGGAGTACACTAGATAGGGAGTACACTAGACACTAGATAGGGAGTGCACTAGATAGGGAGTGCACTAGATAGGGAGTGCACTTCATAGGGAGTGCACTAGATAGGGAGTGCACTAGATAGGGAGTACACTAGACACTAGATAGGGAGTACACTAGATAGGGAGTACACTAGATAGGGAGTGCACTAGATAGGGAGTACACTAGATAGGGAGTACACTTCATAGGGAGTGCACTAGATAGGAGTGCACTAGATAGGAGTGCACTAGATAGGAGTGCACTAGATAGGGAGTGCACTAGATAGGGAGTGCACTAGGTTGTGGAACAGATCCGCTGTTAAACTGATTTACTTAACACTCAATTGAGTGTTAACACTCTATGTGCCGACTAACAAATTAAGTGACTGTCTTCATCAAGCGCTGCTAATCAGGTTTGGTTGTTTACCCAGAACACACACACACACACACACACACACTCAAAAGAAGATGTGAACTAACACACACACACACACACACGATACTGACCAGCTTTGTTATCTGGAAGACAGACAGACGATTATGAGCTGCAGACAGGATCATCTGTCACACACACACACACACGCACACTTACTCATGCACGCGCACACACACAGACACACTCATGCACGCGCACACACACACTACCACAAACATACACTACTACACACACACACACACACACACAGTATTACAATGAATTAAAAATGAACCTATTATAAAGCCGACTGGAGACTAGCCCCTCGTCCATGGGTTCACCAGATTGAGATTGTGGGCCTGAAATTCTCCTGTGCTGCAGGTCTGATGACAGCTGAGGAACTGAGGCATTTAGAGGAACTGCCTTCGCCTCATAATAAGTTCTGGGTTCCCTGCATGTGGTTTGTCAGTCTGGCCATGAGAGCTCGATCTGAAGGACGCATCAATAACGACGTCGCAATGACCGCCATCCTCAACGTATGTCTTATACTTTAGACTATATTTAGACGAATCACTCCTGTGAGTCTGACTGTATTGGGTTAGTTCAGGTGAACTGGGACACTTTTTTTGCCATTGAGATGTTTGGGAAAATGTCCTAATTATCCTGAATTAACCCTTTGTGTTATGAATATCAAGTTCTGTCATGAAACTCTAGATGGCACAGTTTGAGGAGTCCTAAAAAGTTACTTTAAATAACCCTTAACTGAGGACTCCATTAAGTCTTCCTGTGAACAATAGTGTTTTCCTTTGGTTTTGTCCTGGCAGGAGTTGAACACACTGCGCTCTCAGTGTATGAGGCTGTACGGCTATGACTGGATCAGCCTGCCTCTCGTGTACACACAGGTTTGATGCTTCAAACTCGACTAGCTTCATTTACTAGTTCTAATAGTAGACAAAACTAGTTGTTCAAATTTCCCCGTATAGATCCAAGCAAAATCTGAAATGAAACTAAGCTGAATTGATCAAGTTTGTATGATGTCAGTCAGATATTGTAGTGTCTCCTGTGACAATGAGTTTTCGCAATCAGTATTGATTGATTGATTTAATATTTGACACAAGATTAATGTCAAATTATGTGTACCAAACATTATATAAAACCTAAAATCTTTTTTTAAATGATTAACTACCCACTTGCTGTCTGATTAATCTCTGGTTGGAATGGGAAATTCTGATTGGTTGGAATGGCTAAAAGTGATCTCTGATTGGTTGGAATGGCTAAAAGTGATCTCTGATTGGTTTGAATGGCTAATAGTGATCTCTGATTGGTTGGAATGGCTAATAGTGATCTCTGATTGGTTGGAATGGCTAATAGTGATCTCTGATTGGTTGGAATGTGCAGCGATGATCCTCATATTGATTGGCATGGACATTTGTGCACTCTGAAGGGTTGAAATGTTTGATGTATATTTTATTAATTAATTAAATGTATTAATACGTGTTTTATTTGTCATGATTTTAAGCAGGTTGTGTGTCCTGTTCTCTCTGCTAGGTGGTAACTGTGGCAGTGTACAGTTTCTTTTTGACTTGTCTGATTGGTCGACAGTTCCTCGACCCCGCCCAGGGTTATCCGGGTCACAACCTCGACTTCTACCTGCCCGTGTTCACCTTACTGCAGTTCTTCTTCTATGCAGGCTGGCTCAAGGTGTGTTAATGCTATCTTATTAGTGAGATCTCACACAAGTTGGCTCTCCACTTCACACTCACACTCACTAATAACCGGTTATATTGAATAAAATGACTGTTTAGTGTTAAATAACCTCAGCATAATTATATGGTGTTCCTCTCAGCTGACATGACATATACAAAACTTGATTATACATACAAATTTAGCGAAACACAACTTTAGTAATGGTTACACCACAGTGACGCAATGTAGCTACATCATCTTTAACAAAAAGCCAGAAGATAATTGCATTGGTGGTTTTTTTTTTCAGGTGGCAGAGCAACTTATTAACCCTTTTGGGGAGGATGATGACGACTTTGAGACGAACTGGCTGGTGGACCGTAATTTACAGGTACATCATCAGCCCCACTAATGACATGTGTGTTGATCTCCTTTGTGTCATTCTGTCTCGTTCTATGGATTTGTGTCTGGTTGTACAATCTCTCTGGCTGCGTCCGAAATCGCATTCTCTCTCTCTCTCTCTCTCTCTCTCTCTCTCTCTCTCTCTCTCTCTCGAGTAGGTACTTATTTTGAATTACTTAATTTGCAAGCACTAAAAAAGTAAGTTCTATATTGTATAAGTGTGTGTAGTGTGAATGTAATCCGGACGTACTACATCTGCCATGTTGTCATTATCATGAGTATGAGTACCTCTTTTTTATGAGTACATTGACACACTTATTTTGTCACATACTGTTTCGCTTACTATATAGTAGGGAAGTATGCAATTTAGGACGCAGCCTCTGTTAAATTTTCTCCTTTTACATTTGTGTATTACTGACCCTTTTTTTTTTAAAGGTGCACTAAAAAAATATTTTGAATATGCATCATGGATTGAATTTATATTGACATCTTTTGGCAGAGATGCAGCATTGCACTCTTCGGTTACTGATGCCATTGTAGAAATACTCTTTTTGCAGATGCATTTGTCACCTATTATTTATATATTAATAATTAACAATATATGGCCGCCATGAGGGAAGACTTTCCTTTTGTAGAATAAAACTTTTGTGAGAATGGAGTCATTTTTCAAGCTAAAACTAATTTTAAGTGTAGACTTAAATTTTGAATAATCTTTAGTTTAGTGAGATAATATGGCAGAATTGTGTGAGAAGTGTCCAAAGTATTTATCCTTTTTGTAAGCACCTGTGCTTATACGAACATGAATGGTTGTGTGTTTCTCCCAGGTGTCTCTGCTGTCAGTGGATGAGATGTATGATCTGGTTCCTCTGATTGAGAGAGATAAATACTGGGATGAATCTGAACCTCAGCCGCCGTACACCGCTGCCAGCGCAGAACACCGCAAACCCTCATTCATGGGGTCTGCTTTGGACATCAGGTGAATGGACATCCTCACACACACACACACACACACACTTAAACCTTAAACCCACCAATAGAAAACTACAGCGCACACATGCACGTTTCTGGTGCACAAAAATACATTAAAAAAACATTATCTTGATTTTGTAGCCATTAAAAGCACAGTGAAAAACAAACCTTTACTTCTGTAATGTGACATTTCTTAGTGAAACAGAATATTTAGGGGAAGAAAATAAGACCTTTAAGACCAGGAATCATTGTTATATATATCGTCATATCGTCCAGCCCTAAATCTTGTATAGTTTTTTGTCAGTGCTTATTTCAAAACATCCAATTATGCAGAATTTACAATGGTAAATATTTAAATGATGAGTTATCAATACAATATATAACAATACAATATATACGGTATAATTTTACCCCTAAATTCAGTATATTGACATAAAAATGATAACTGCAAATCCACCTTTCACTGCCCGAGTCCAGTTATTCATTTGCTTCTCTGTTCTGTAGCTTTCAGCAGTCAAATCTAGTTGTACAGTCAATCTTAAAGCTCTTTCCCATTTTAAAAGTGTTTTGTGTGTTTATCGCAGCATTCACACTGAAAACAAATGCAGTGTTTTTGCCACTCCGGCTGACGGTGACGTCACGCGGATAACCCTCTATTGTTTTTCTTTACAAGGAAGTTTTCAAGTCGCACTGATCAGTGATGATGAGTCAAAAGATAATGTTTTTTAAGATTTCAAAGCATGTTTTGTCTAACATATGCCGCTGCACGGCGCCTCAAAGGGAAGCGGAAAAGTGAACACATTACCCCGGTTTTGATCTCGCTTCATTGGCTAGCGGTTAAATACAGAATTGATTTTAAAGTTTTGTTATTTGTTTGTTATTTAAGTCTTTACGTAACCAGGCTCCACTGTACCTATCCGAACTATTACAGCCGCCCTCCCAGTCAAGATCACTTAGACTCAGATCTACTATCTGTTCCTAGAACTAGACTTAAAATAGGGGTGATCGTGCTTTTGCGGTCATCGGCCCTAAGTTATGGAATAGCCTACCGCCTTACATCAGATCCACCCAAACTAAGTCCATTTTTAAATCCACCTTGAAACCGTATCTTTTTTCAATTGCTTTCAATATTTCTTGATTATCATTATTCTTCAATATTTTACCTTAGTTCACAGGGTTTCCATTTTAGTGTTCTTTATTTTGCTTTACTGTTGTATGTGTTTTCTATCTTATTGTGTGTTTCCTTGGCTTTTGTAAAGCACTTTGGTCAACACCAGTTGTTTTTAAACGTGCTAAATGTGACCCTGGACCACAAAACCAGTCACATGGGTACATTTTTTTAAATTGACATGTATACATCCTCTAAAAGCTGAATAAATAAGCTATTCATTGATGTATGGTTTGTTATGATAGGACAATATTTGGTCGAGATACAACTATTTAAATATATCTGGGTGCAAAAAAAATTTAAACATTGAGAAAATCACCTTTAAAGTTCTCAATTTATGTTCGCAATTGTGCTGCATTCACTCACAAAAATAAACGTTTTATATATTAACGGTAGGAAATTTACAAAATATCTTCATGGAACATGATCTTTACTTAATATCCTAATGATTTTTGGCACAAAAGAAAAATCGATAATTTTGACCCGTACAATGTATTGTTGGCTATTGCCACAAATATACCCGTGCGACTTGAGACTTGGTTTTGTGATCCAGGGTCACATATGAATGATATTGTATTGTAACAGTAGATCCTCAAGGTCAGTTGTGGGGTAAAAACACGTTCACAAGGTTGTCTCTCTCTGTCTCTCAGCGTTCCCAAAGAGGACATGGAGTTCCAGCACAATCTGGAGCAGATTAAGGAGCACGAGGAGGCCAATCACTCCACTCCGTTCCTGGGCAGCTTGAGTCGTCTTCTGGGCGTCCAGTCGAACAATTTCCCTCGCTCGACTCCCACGTCCCGAGTCTCGCTCCTGCGTCGGCGTCCCCGCGCCCCTTTCTCTCGCTTCCCCCTTTACCTCCATCCCGAGAGCGCTCCGATGCCCAACCATTCCCGGGACGCCGACATGGCCGAGGACGCCTTCTCCTCAATGCCTCTTTACGAAAGACCTGGGTTCTACAGCTGTCCTCAGACGCCCATCCACTGCATCCCTCCGCCTGTCACTCGCTCGAAACCACGACGAGCTCACGACAGCTCCAGCTCACTGGCGCAACCAATGGTGGGATCACAAGTCCTGGCTCCTCCCGACACACCCGCGCCTCCTTCCTCCGCTTTCCCTTGGGTTGGAGAACATTCAGGACCAGCTTTCTCATTCCCAGACCCTGTGCCCGAGCTGTTAACCAAAGTACGGCCCGTTCAAGTCTTGCCATCGAGACGTCCCCTGCCTTTACGTCTCTCGTTAGACACGTCTCCTTCTCCGTCTCCTCAATCTTGGCCGATCCACACCGCCAGCTCTGGGAGCATGAACGCGGCGACCACAACAAACATCAACGGTACGGCAAACAACCCCTGGCCAATCAGCAGAAGCACCACCGCAAGCACAGCCAATCCCGTCAACACAAGCCCCACGGCGACTCAGCCGACAGCCAATCAGCACAACTCTCCCAACGACTCTGGCATCTCATTGGCTGAGGGGGATCTGTTGGGTGTTGCGCTGAGAACGAGGGAACCGCTCTAAAGCCGAGTGCACACTGCGATTTATGATTGTTCCTTGTCAGACTCTACGAACATGATCCTCGCTGTAAACCATGTCACACTGTAAGATCTCAGTTGTTAATGTCATTAGACACATGTCTTGAGTCTTGACTAGAGTACAGATTGTCAAGACACGTTAAAAATGGACGCATGCAAGAAAATTCATCCGGAGTTTTACCTTATTAATCGATGACGCGTTCTGTGATGTGAGCTGTGTTACACGCGGGATTGAAATGGTGGCTACAAAGAAGTCTCAAACGTTAATTTTGGCCATGGCTTTTCTGGAAAAACAAAGACGATTTGACGGTCGTCGTCGTAGAAGTCACACTGCAGGACTGAGAGTCAAATCTTCTGACACCGCCAGAAATTCTGCTATATAGATCGCATATAGATATAGAGCGCAACGCTCATGAATCGGCTCTCGTGAACACGTCAAACTAACGATAAAGACTTCAGATTTTAGCCTAGGATCAGAGGAATCTTTAGGATTTGCAAAATTAGTCTCAGACGGCTAAATCGTGGCCAAAATCGCGTGCACCCGGCTTAAATTAGGTGGAAAATACCAGCTTAGACCAGCATGAGGTCGCTCTTCAGGCTGGTTTAGAGACGGCTTACAGATGTGTTTTGGGAAATTTAAGAAACCTCATAAACACTACCAAAAACACAACATATGTTGCCGTTAAATTCATGTTCTGGAGGAGAAACTGCATTATGAATCATAACATGCACAATTGATTCAATTTCTGACATGGTTTCCACACATTATTTTTTATTATCCACCTTATTCCTGACGAGCTTACTGCGTTTTGAATTATGGGTGGCACTTCCGGTTTGGGGAACTTCCATACAAAAAGGCTGAAACGAATCATTTCAAATCATAAGGTTGTCCTACAAATAAACCTGATCCGTCAGTTTGACTGGATGAGCTGTCAATTTTCCTTCATGATTTATTTCCAGACATCATGAGAATAACGTTACACTTGGTATTTTAACGTGACATGTTATAACAAGAATATCTATGGCAAGAGCTCTTTTCAGTCGCTGCTTTCTTTTCCTCATGATGGTTTTTATTTTTTCCTTTGCAATCCGCTGTAAAAGTATGAAAAAAGTACAACATATACGGCACATTTGTGGTCTGTTCTCCCGAATTTAATTTACGATAATAATTCACTGGAATACACGAAGAATCTCCCGTTATTCTCCTTAAATCCTCACGTTTCTTTCCAGGTTTGTTTTCACTGGTAAATGCAATTTATAATCTGTCAAAATGACGGAAATCACTTTGATATAGTGTCACGTAATGCTGAAGTTAATGAACATTTTTGATTAAGGCTTGTTATACAATATATTTGCCTACTACAGTGATATTTAACCAAAGACTCGTGTGTTTGGGGCTATTTTTGGTCTGTTGACCTTCTTGATTATTTTAAACTTTTAAATTTCATTTTAATGTTCGATGGTTGAAGGGTGAGTCGATTAATGTCATCTCATTGTGACACTTTTTTAACGTATTGCGTTCATAGAGCGAGCCTTTCACTGATTGTTTACAGCTTAACGGAAGTTACACTCATAATTCGCACAAAGCGTCATGAAGCGTAGGAATAAGGTGGATATTGCTGTATGTGGGCAGAGATAAATCATGTAGATCAGTAAAACCACTTGATCTTCTCCATCTTGTCTATATTCGACTACTGGCTGCATCCTAAATACTTCATTACTTTAGTAAGCAGAAAACAGTAGACGAAAAGTACTTGATGTGACTTTACTATTTCTGAAGTGTGCATACTATCCCATGAGGTCACGGAAGAGGATTTGTGAATGAAGTCACATGACAATGACAACATATGATGAATGTAGTATGTTCACAATCATACTAAAACTCATACTATACAACGCCATCACAGAGATGTACTTATTCAATGAAGTAGCTACTCAGACATTATGCGATTTTGGATGCAGCCTGTATCTCTCAAGAAATAGGTCATGTGATCGCCACTGTCACTGTCATTGGTAGTCGCCACTGCTCATTTGCATAAACATTGTTGCATGCTTTTTTGATATTGAAAACCAAATTATGTTAAAGAAAATGTCCTGATTTCATGCAAACAGCCACTGACGCAGAACAAACCTCCCAAACACAATGCATCATGGGATTGCAACAGAATTAAAGTGTTTTGTACCAACTTTACACTGACTTGGTGTGATTCTTAATTCTCTGAATGAGGTGAAAAAGGGGTCAAATCAATGCCTTGTTCACTTTCGGCTTGATTTTACTGCAGAACGTTTATAGTTAGCTATATAGTTTGGCTAGGAATATACATTTCCATGACTTTTCTTGGCCTGTGATTAATAAGTCACTTTTTGTGTGTCATTTTAAGTATCATTAATATACTATTATAGTTTTTTTGTTGTTTTCATATTTGTTTTAGTTTGAGTATTATTTTTGTTGTTGTTTTAGACGTTTTTTTTAGATCTATTTTTTTTTATTAATTTTTATTTGAGTTTCGGTTATTTACTACTTAAAATTAAACTGAACAGAAATGAGTTAGCTATTTTTGTTCAATTTTAGGTTGTTATCGATCTAGATTAGTATTTTTTTGCTGACTCACTTTCACTTAGCCGGGAAAAGCTTCATAAATTATGCATCTATTCTTAAACTTCATTAATTATGCATGATTATTCTCAAATGTCATCCTTTGAACTATTGTGGTCACCTTTTCTTCCTTGTTACTTCCTGCCAGTGAAAACCTAATACATACAGTTCTGTCTAAAAGAAAGACACAGACAACTTCACTCATTTTAGTCATTTTTATTGAGATCAACTAGTTTGAATGATTATTACATATAGAATATTGCATATAATTAAAGCACTAAATGAAAATTAAAGCGTGTATATGGTATTTGGGCTATAGCCAGGGTGCGAATAGATGTTGGTCAAAGAAAGAAGTATGAAGCCTTACCAGTAAATATGAAGATACGTTTCTAGCTCAGACTGATTTTAAATCAGAAATTGGTCATACCATTATCTTTGCCTGAGTGATGAATTAAATACGATATTGAACGGCACACATTCAGGGATGTGCATTTATTGCATGGGCGAAGAACATAATGCGTTTAAATTGCATATACACAGTTCAGTTGAATGATGACACTTGCCCTCTTTAACACTGTTAATCTGAATGTACGAGGCAAACTGTTTGCTGAAGACATCCACATAACACTGAAATAGGAGCACACAGTTTATCTGTCAATTGCATTTGAAATGTTGTGTTCATAAGGGATGCACGATATATCGGCCACCATATCAGCATCGGCCGACATATGTTCATTTTTAATTTGTTATCATTATCGGCCCGATAAGAAATTTTGTCCGATGTATTAAAGCCGATAAATAATGGATTATTTCCTTCAGCTGAGACACTTAAGATGTGCACTGATCAACATTATGGTTTTTAATTAGGGCTGGGTAAAAAATAGCGATTTCTCGATATTAATCGATTCTCATTTTTACGAACCGATATCGATTCTTAAATCTCAAGAATCGATTAGTCATCCTGTTTTCATTTGATGAATGAATGGAACAGTAGCGCGCATCCCATCCAATAAATCGCAATAATCTTTGTGCTTTACTAAATAAAGTCTCAAATTTCAAATTACGTCAATTTTCTTACGAAATTCAAAAACATAAATACCGTTTTGGCGCTGTGGCGTGAGATCGCTCTGGCTCAGCTCAGCTCAAGAGAAGCAGCAGCGCGGAGCGCACATGATCTTCTCTTCCGCCTTAATAATACCAGTTACAGCGCCAAATAAACATGAATGAACGTCTGAAAGTGTGTTAAAAGATAGAGTACAACTTATCGAAATCCGTATCATGTCACATGGAATCGCTCAATCAGTGTTTCAACCGTGGAAAGACGTCAGTAAAACAATGTCATGTAACGTCACATTTACCTCAGAAAAACCATATGTGACCATAAACTCGTTAGTCAGCTAGAAAAATTAACTCTAAAGAGGAGCATTTTGCTAAATATATGCACCATATTACATATTCATTATAATTTTTAATGTTCTTCGATATTTAATGCATGTTTGAATAAATCTGGCAAGTTTTTATGACAGCCACCATTTAAATGTTTATATTTCATATAACTTTATTATTATAAAAATAAATAAGTGTAATTTAAGTGTTTGTATAGCTACAAATCAGTTATTTTTTACCTTCAATATTATAGTAGGCTAATGAAGACTAGTAGGCTACAACTGACTCCCATAGTTTACAGCATTAGTTAAGAGATTTGTTTTCCTTGAGAAAATTTGCCATGTATTGTACCTGATATCCAAAATAATCAATATTGAATCGAATCGAATTGCAAGCTTGTGAATCGAAAACGAATCGAATTGTGAAATTTGTGTCAATAACCAGCCCTAGTTTTGAATTGCTTGAAATACGATTGAAATCGCATCAAAAAGGAAAATACAGTTCAGTGCAACATGTCGGTCACATAAGCTACATAAAATTACAATAAGAACATAATAATTGTGTGCTTGAGACATGGCTTTTAATGGTGAGACTTTTGTTTTTGTGATCAGGCTCTCAAAAATTATATAAAAATTTAGATTTATCGGCCAAAATATCGGTTATCGGCTTTCAAATACAAATAATTATCGGTTATCTGCCAAAATGTTCATATCAGTGCATCCCTAGAGTTCAATACTATAATAGTATATATACATATATCACTGTTTGTAATGAACAAGGCCAATGTGTAATTCGAACCCTGGCTATAGCAATGGCTTATCAAAGGTTCGGGCAGAATCTCTAGTAAACTACAGCAGGGTTTCCAGCATGACTATGATTGGCTGACTGACTGGTTTCCTCATAAACAGGAGACACTGACTGTCTAAGAGCTTTTCTTCCCCAGAGTGTGCTTGTCGAACAGATACTCGGCCATGCCGTTCTGAGGAGCTCCCATACGCCTCAGGCTGCCCACCCAGTCGGACAGCTCTTTAATGGACTTCACCTGCTCGTCCAGGTAATGCGTCTCCAGGAAATCACAAACCTGGTGTGAGAGAGCGACGGAGAGCACATCAGACACGTTCACAAACATATAGGGCCCTGTTTTAAGGATTTTTAAGTGCACTTTAGGGTGTGTCCGAATCCACTTTTGCCAGTTTAACGACGGGAAAAATGGTCGGCAGTCCCGGCGCATGGTCTCAAAGGGTCGTCCCTATTCTCTTAAAGAGCATATTGCGGGTAAAAAAAAATCAAAATTAATTTATAACCTTGTATGAAAATACCATATGAAAAGTTAATGCAGGATTTAAGGGTCATGAAACCCTAAACCAAATTTTCTGAGATTTTAACAGAGGTATGTGTGTTGAACAACATTGAAGACAATGTTAGCATTAGGGGTGGGAATCTCTAGGCACCTCACGATTCGATTCGATTACGATTCAGAGGGCTGCGATTCGATGCTAAATCGATTATCAGAATCTTTTTTTTGTGTGTGTGTGACTATAAATACTTTGCTTTAAAAGTACAAAGTAATGACCCATAAAGAATTAACGTACAATATATTTTATTAACATTGCAAAGAACCAACAGGAAAATACATGTGTGTCTGAACTAGCAGCAGCATATTTGTAGTAAATTAATAATATAACAACGACCGGTAACGTTACAGCCGAGTGTTTTTCCTCCTCTGGCTGGAAACGTGTCATATGGCTTCTCATATGTGTCTTGTTTCCGAAATATTTTAGTTTTACTCTACAAAGCTTACAACTAGTGTGGCTCTTGTCCAGCTCCTTTCCCCCTTCAACTTCAGAAGCCAAAATATTTCCACACGTCAGCTTTTAACGAGGAGGGTGTTTGGATTTGGCGCTCAGCCATCGCGTCCGCGTCTGTTATGTGCACGCCACAGACGGTCCGACCACTGCACTTCCGCGCTTCAGAGTTCCGTCTTTCGCGTTCCGTCAATATTACGTTATTATAAATATATTTCTAAATTTTTTTTTTTTTTTTGGAAAATCGATTTTTGACAATTGTGAATCGATTCAGAATCGTCCACGTCCGCATCGCGATGCATCTAAGAATCGATTTTTCCCCCCACCCCTAGTTAGCATCTGTTAGATTTCATAGTAGGGTGAAAATGGTTAAATTTGAGTTTTTTCCAGATGAAGATTTGATTATTTGAGATGAAGATTTTAGTATATATACTAAAATCTTCATCTCATGCTGTGACGTGGCAGTGCACAGTGTAGTGCGTTGATGACTCATCGGTCTCTCATAATTATTAATGAGACTGAGTTTTTATATCCTATGAGAAGACACGGTCTCTTAATTATTCATGACACCACGTGGATCTTTCCACAGACATGTCAAACTGTGATATCGCGTAACGTTAGTAAAGGAGAGAGACCATCATGGGACGCAAGTGCTGCAAACATTTTACCCGAGAGAGCTTCGAGAATTGGAGAATGGTGGACTTCGGCCTTGTCGATGACCAATGCAAGTTACGTCTTGCGAGTAATGCGGTACCAAGTCCTGAGGACTTTTCTATCCCTTCAGAGTGTGTGTCTAAAATGTAACCCTGGTCATTTTACTTGCCTTTTGTTAAATAAGCGGTCGTTATGAACATTTTAGATATTTCGATAATATATCAATTGTATGCTTAATGCGGGAGACTTGTGAATGTGTAGTGTTGACGTGCGGGCCGGGCGACACCGTGTTGTGTGTGTGTGTACGTGCAGGCAGGCGAGCCTGCGAAATGATTCGGGGTCAGAGAGAGAAGCGGTAGGATGTGTGTTTGGACGAACAACTGAAAACTCTGAGATTATTGTTCATTATTGATCGTACATTGTACAGAGGTCAAAATTATTGTACAAATACGATAATTATCGTACATCTGGCAACACTGCTGGCTGATGACAGTTCCCCCTCTCCCCTGCCGTGCCACACCCACTCCCTCCCTTCTTCTCACAGCCATCCACGCCCATTTAAGTTGCATTTTTCAAAAAGATTATGAGCTAGACTTGAGCTGATAGAGGGGGGTTTCATGACCCTTTAAAATGTTTTAAAACGACATAAGGGCACCAATTTAGTAGATAAAGTGAGCGGCTTTTCCCCCCCAACATCGCATCATTTTTTTCACGCCCGTCACGCCCATTTTCAGATGCGGAAGTACATGTTTCTCACAAAAACGACTCCAGAAGCTTCTGTAGGGTATTTATAAGTATATTTGAAAGAAAATCTAGTTCCTACATTATTTTTCTATACATTGACTCGTTGGGTCCTCTGACTATTGCCAATAGTCTCATCTCCCATTCCCTTTAAAGGCCAGTGGCGGATTCGCTATTTACATGATGAATTTGCAAGGGGAAAAACTGAATGCTTCTCTAGGGAAGAAACGGATCTGCTCATGCGTGAGGTTAAAGCTGTGTGTGTGTGTGTGTGTGTGTGTGTGTGTGTGAGGTTAAAGCTGTGTGTGTGTGTGTGTGAGGTTAAAGCTCAGACCATCTACGGGACAAGCCGGATTCCCCATATCTTTATGTACACAATAATAATCTTTTACATTGTAATCCTTTTATTTTTAATATGTGGCAATAAGCAATGTGCTGTGTGTGTAATAAGCAGAGTATATGCGTGTTGTGACCATTTTTGTGCTGTGTGTGTGTAATAAGCAGAGTGTATGCGTGTTGTGACCCGCCTATAAGCTCATATTAAATAACAAAAAAAATTTATAATACTGCGCCATTGACTTCAGAACAGGTTTGAGTTGCTTTCCCACTAACAATCAGTTGCATAATTACAGGTGGTGATTTTACTTTATGGTTTCTACATGCAGTTAAACTCTTTACAGGCACGATCTGATCTAGGGTCAGACTATGAGATCACACAGACAGATCTGATCCTAAACTATCACTCTGAGCTCAAACCCTCCCAACAGGACATGATTGAATGTATAAATTAGGTCTATTTCCAGCCGGCTGATTTGGCATTCTGGGTAACTCCCATTTGAAAAACTGAGGAACAAAACTCACATCTCTTACAATAAAGAACTCATTCATTTTTTGGACACGTTAACAGTCAAATCATCAAGGTCCCCAAACTTATCGACTTGAAGAACTTCCATGGCAGGAGTGATTACTTCAGAAGGATTTTCAAAAATCATTTCTAACAAAGAAAAAATTTATAACCAATGAAGTGGTTTATAATTTATATTAACTATCGTTTCCATGACTTTTCCAGACATGTGATTATTAAATAATTCATAGTAAAAAAGATTTTTTTTATAATTAATATACAATTATAGTTTTATTCATATTTTGAGTTTTATATTTTCCATTTTCATATTTTAGTTTCAGTACTTTTGTTGTGTGTTTTTGTCATTTTATTGTTCTATTTTTTTATGTTTATATATTTCAATTTTAGTTATTGTAGAACTTAAAATTGCATGAAAGTTAAATAAAATAAGTTAAGTCTTTTAAAAATATTTTATTAAGTAATTAAAATGAGTGATTAACAGTGTTATCGTTAACTAAAGTTAAAACCATTTTTATTATTTGAAATAAAATAAATGTTAACTAATTTTTTTATTTTTACATATTTCATTTCAGTTTACATTTATTCCAGTTTAAAACAACAATGTTTTGTAATGGTTTAGCTTTGGTTGAAGATAACCCAGTTAATCGCTAATTTTGAAATGTCGTGACCTTATTTGTTGTGTACTCACATGTGGATCGTTGTGTTGAGTCGCGACCTTGTGCAGTTCCAGTAGCGACAGATTTACGCTCTTTTCCAGAGCCAGAGCACATTCCAGCGCTTCCAGACCACTGCCCCACTCATCCCGATCCGGCTTCTGCACACACACACACACACACACACATAACAAATGCTCATATCCTCCAGCTGACGAGCTTCTAACTGGCTTGATCTGTCCCGTACCTTGATGTCCTGAAGGTAGATCCGTCCTCCTCTCTGGTTCTGCAGACTCATCAGCTTCTCTGCATGTTCTCTCTCCTCCTTAGACTGCTCGTGGAAAAACTTAGCAAAATTGGGCAAAGACTTGTCATCCCTGTCGAAATAATAACCCTGGAGAGAAGAAAAGTCAACCATGAACCCATATCAGAATCAGAATGAGCTTTATTGCCAAGTATGTTTACACATACAAGGAATTTGTCTTGGTGACAGAAGCTTCCACAGATAAAAATATAAATAGACAAAATAGACAATATGTGTATGTACAGCATGTTATATACAAATGTAAATAAGCAATGTAAATATGAAACCCCTGAAGACTATTCATTATAATAATACAGACCTAATCATTAGTGATCACTCGTATAATAAACGCCTGCTCTCTCACCATGGACAGGTAGACGTATGATGCGTACAGCTCCAGGTAGACCTGTCTGTTGATGGCCGCCTCACACTCCTGATGGAAGTTCTGCCTCACCTGAGAAGCCATGATTCTGAAACACATGAAAATAAATAAGATGTAAAAAAAATTTATTAGTGATGCAAAATACATATTATATAATCATCATTATATACACACACACACGCATTAAAATATATATACATACACATTAATATATATATACAGTTGAAACTCGAAAAATTTGAATATCGTGCAAAAGTTCATTTATTTCAGTAATTCAACTTAAAAGGTGAAACTAATATATTATATAGACTTCTTACATGCAAAGTGAGATATTTCAAGCCTTTATTTGGTATAATTTTGATGATTATGGCTTACAGATATGAAAACCTTTTCACAATATTTTGGGGTTTTCATAAACTGTAATCTATAATCATCAAAATTATGCCAAATAAAGGCTTGAAATATCTCACTTTGCATGTAAGGAGTCTATATAATATATTAGTTTCACCTTTTAAGTTGAATTACTGAAATAAATGGACTTTTGCACGATATTCTAATTTTTCGAGTTTCACCTGTATATTTATATATATTAATGTGTATGTGTGTATATATGTATATAAAACATTGAATTCCATATATATATATATATCGAATTCAATAGTTTATATACATACATATACATAATGCAAAGCATAGATAGCAAGATGCAATACTATGTAAATAAGTAATAATCTGTCAATACAACAGCCCTGTTTATTGAATATGAATTGATGAAACGTTACTTACCCTGAGACAATGAATCCTTTACCAAAAACACGGAGATGTAGGGTAACCCACGCGTGATTTCTCAATATGCCTTTGTAGCTTCAAACACAAGATCTAAAGCGAGAGCCAGAAGCAGCGTGTGTTAATGTTCAGACGTGCACGAATTATGGGGGTGATCTGCAGGGGTGATGGCATAAACATGCACGGGCGCGCGCGTTATTCTAGCCCGCAAATAAATCACTGGAGCCACTTTTCAAAATAAAAGTGCTGATTAAAAAAATAGATCAAATTTGTTTTATTTAAAAGAAAAAACACATTTGTGTGATTTTGAAATACTTTAAAAAACATAATATATACACCAAAAATCGTATATTAACTCTTTTACAAATACACGAGGTATCACCAGTCCGCCTGATGTCGCTGTTTAATGTAGAAGGCTTATAACATGAATATGAATTAATTCGTGGTGACGTTCTTGTTAGGAGCGTCCAATCACTGAACATTATTTTGAATAGGACACGCCCTCATAAGCGTTCGTTCATTCGCCTGTGGATTAGCGACCGCCTACTGACGTACGCCTTTAAGCCAATCAGTTTGGACTACTGACAAACGTCACGTCGCACCGTAATTAATATTCATGATCCAAACATTCAACATAGTAGACCAGACGGAAAAGCAACATCCGATTAGTTTAAAATGAGTAATGGATTCTAGCTCTCAGCATCCACCTTGTACTGTGTTCTTTGATTTAGAGACAACTGGTCTGGGTATGTGATTTTATAAACCAATTCCTTATTAACCATGAGAAATGTGTAAACGAATGTATGAATGAAGCTTTCATGCTCGTCTCTGCTCAGTTTTGACAACAAAAGTTACTTATGGTTACATAATTTTTAGGAATCATATTCTCAAATCCTAGTCTTTAAAATATTATGAAGAAGTCGCTTATGCTCATCAAGCCTGCATTTATTTGATCAAAAATACAGAAAAATCTGTAACAATTTAAAATAATGGGTTTCTATGTGAATATATGTTCAAATATAATTTGTTTCTATGACGCAAAGCTGAATTTTCAGCATCATTACTCCAGTCTTCAGTGTCACATGATCCTTCAGAAATCATTCTAATATGATGATTTATTATCAACCTTATCAATGCAAACAGTCGTGCTGCTTAATATTTGTTTATAACCTGTGATATTCCTTGATGCATAAATACACCATTTATTTAAAATAGAAATCTTTTCTAACAATATAAATCTTTACTGCCACTCTAAAAAATCAATTTAACACATCCTTGCTGAATAAAAGTATTAATTTCTTAAATAAATAAAAAATACTGACCCCAAACTTTTGAACTGTGTATGATGTTACAAAAGATTTCTATTTTTAAAAACTTTTTATTCATCAAAGAATCATGAAAAAGTATCACAGGTTATAAAAAAATATTAAGCAGCACGACTGTTTCCAACGTTGATATAATAATAAATCATATTAGAGTGATTTCTGAAGGATCATGTGACACTTTAGACTGGAGGAATGATGCTGAAAATTCAGTTTTGCATCACAGAAATAAATTATATTTTAAAGTATATGCAAATAGAAAACCGTTATTTTAAATTGTAATAATATTTCACAATATTACAGATTTTTCTGTATTTTTGATCAAATAAATGCAGGCTTGATGTGCAGAAGAGACTTCTTTCAAAATCATTAAAAATAGTAATGTTTCCAAACTTTTGCCTGTGTGCTGTCAAGTCAAGTCACCTTTATTTATATAGCGCTTTTTACAATACAGATTGTATCAAAGCGCTTCACAGTGATAACATGAAAACAATATAACAAAGTTTGTTTCTAAAAGAAATTGCGTCAACGTCCACCTTAAGTAAGGCAGATCAATAATATTAAATGTTAAATGTCCCCAACTAATGTGCTGTGTGTATATACACAGTCAAACCAAAACATTTCTCACATTATCACAGTTTATTCGCTATAGTTTAGAAAATGGTAATAAAATATGACAAACTCAGTTGATATTTCACTGGTTTTGTCCATCATTATTAGACTGTCTCACACATGAATTATGTTGAATATCTGTCTGCTGTTAAATTTAACTACACAATTAGATAATACCAGTTTAGCTCAACCAGTGACCAAGCAATGCTTCATGTTGTTCAGTCTGTGTGTAAAAAGAAAAAACACTTCAGCAAAACATGATCAGGTCAAAGTGTCTGAATCATTTTTGGTCCTAAATTTTTATAAATTGCACTGGTAGTCACTGTATTTCTGGGTATAATATGTCACAGTTTACTTTATTTTGCTCTCCTCACTTACATAAATGAACTATAGTGTAGTTCACACACTAGTAAAAAAAAATCCCAAATTATATCTGGTGTCTGAATAATTTTTGGTTTGACGGTATGCTTTTTGCACATGTTCTGAATCTCCAGACCGCTCCTGTGACCTGGTCCAGCTGGCGGCAGTGAGTGGGAGTCACACTTTCAACCTCTTTATGGTTCCTCGTCGGCCGATGCAACCCGGCGCTTCCAGGATCACAGGTTTCAGTGTGAGACGCCAGCGTCTGCTTCTCCACCGCAGGCCGGTTCTCACCAGCTCTCTCCGAGAAGCCCTGGTCTCCTTCATCACCTTCCTCCAGATGTTGGGTCGGCCGCTCCTGGTGGGTCACAACATCCGCAGGTTCGACTGTCCTGTTCTGGCCAGAGCACTGGATGAGTTCAGCCTTAGGTCAGACTTCCAGAAACACCTGGGTGGATTCGTGGACACTCTTCCGTTGGCCCGACAGCTTCTCAAAGACAGCGGCCTTCAGAGCTTCAAGCAGGAGAGCCTGGTTAAGAGCCTCCTGGGAGTTTCATACGCGGCCCATAATGCTCTAGAGGACGTGCAAGCGCTGCAGAGACTCTACTGGGCCCTCAAGCCCACGGCCAATCAGATTCAGCAGCACATTTTCACTCTGGACTCATTGGCTGCTGCATCTGTCAATCATTAGGAGCATTATCAAATGTGTTGAATATGAATATCCAGTGCTTCAGTGAAGGAGAGGAACATTTGGATGATTAACATCTTAGAAAATGTCCAGCTGGTCTCAGAAAAAGTGAAGCAAATTTGTACATTGGTAATATTTTTGCATGATTTGAAATAAAATTGTACTGATGTTTTTTTAATAAATAAATATATTTCAATATTATGTATTTTATATTTAAATATTAATATTTCTATTAGTTTATTATTATGTCTTTTCCTCTGATTTTGGGAAGAGGCCCATAGAGATCAACTGTTAACCTTCATTTGCATATCGGGACTAGATCTCTTCTATTAGTTTTCTAATAAAACTTTCAAAAATGTACTTGTGTTAATGTGAGTGTATAAAACAAAATCATGTATAATATAGAGAAGTTAATGATTCAATTTCAATAGTGAATAAAAATGTGCATAATTTTAATAGCTTTAGACAATTTAGTTTAGGCTATATATATATATTTACATTACCGTACAAAGGTTTAAGGTCATTAAGATTTGAAATATTTTCGAAAGAAGTCTCTTCTGCTCAGCAAGGCTGCATTTATTTAATAAAAAATACAGTATAAATAGTAATATTGTGAAATATTATGAAATAACTGTTTTCTATGTGAATATATAGTAAAGTGTAATTTATTCCTGTGATCAAAGCTGAATTGTCAGCATCATTACTCCAGTCTTCAGTGTCACATGATCCTTCAGAAATCACTCTAATATGATGATTTGCTGTTAAAAAAATTCAGATTATTATCAGTGTTTTAAAACACTGATGTCATATGAACTCCAAAATGCATTGTTTTATGAAATTTTACTGTCATATCCTATTTGAATTTCATCCAAGAGGAAAGCGTAAGAACAGGAACATGACGCTACAGTATGACTGTGTTAAAGTAAACAAGATGATCCAATAAAAGACAATGTCAACAAGCCTTTAATTAAAGCCCAGGCTGAGTGAGCAATGGGGAACGTAACCTTTGTCTGCAAAACCTGTTGCATAAGTTTAGGCCATAAAAACGGGTCAGAAATGAAAGATTACAGAACTGTTATTTATTAGAGATTAGAATTACATACAGAGTTCCTCTTCCCAGACACATGCTCCATTACAGCTCAGAAAGTGCCATACATTCATTCATTCAGACTCTCGAACGCATGCTTGGATCCCAGAACACTTCAGAATAATACAGCTCCAAAAATATAGAAATAATCCCGGAGGCCAACAGAGTTGAGGTCAGGCTTCTGGTTTTACACGTACAAATCTGAAGAGGGCACTAAAAATACAGTAAACAAACATCAGGGTGCCGGACGGTAATTCCCAGCATCCTTTGTGCTCTCTAGTGCAAATAGTAACTAACCACAGCAATAAAACAGAACCACAGATCAAGCCATACAGTAGCCTAACTAATAAGGGAGAATAAAGATCGTTAATAAAGTTTCACGTGTATTAAAACCCTTTTTTTAAGGTTGCAGGGTTGTTTTTAAAATCAGTTGCACTGGTAATCAAATCCCAAAACTTGTGTCTGTCGCTCATTTAGCAAAGAACATACTTATTAATCAATCAACCCATAAAACTGTTTCACCATGGAAGTTCTTCATGGAAGAGTGTGTCTGCAACAAGGACTCGGTGTTCTTCAGCAGCAATACCATGAAAAAGTCTAAAAAACGTTAAAATTGGTCTCAAGTCTCATGTCTATGTTACCGGATTTGTATGTAAAAGTTCATTTGTTACTGTCCTCCATCTGGGTTTTATGTTATACCTCCTATAAATAAATAAAATAATAATTCTCTAAAGGAACAAATTTCATTTCATTAAATGTTTATATCTTGCAGCCAATAGTGAGTGATCATGCATCCCTGATCATGCATTTAACTTATGTGTCAACATGAAATCACAACTGACCCGATCTACTTTCTTAAAGGAGTAGTTCACTTTTGAAAAAACTTTTGCTGATAATTTACTCACCCCCATGTCATCCAAGATGCCTATGTCTTTCTTTCCTCAGTCGAAAAGAAATTACGGTTTTTGATGAAAACATTCCAGGATTTTTCTCCATATAATGGACTTAAATGGGAACCATACGGTCCAAGGTCCAAAAAGGTTCATCAAAATGAACAAATCTTTTTCCGAGTCAATTCGTTCATTTAACGACCGAAATGAACGAATTGACTCGGAAAAAGATTTGTTCATTTTGATGAACGAGTTCGAACAGGAGAGTTACACAGAACAGAGAAAGGCGAGCATTTGAGCTTATAAAACTTAAACGTTGTTTTTTATTTTTTAAATGAGCGATCGTTTCGCATGATAAGACCCTTATTCATCGTCTGGTGTCGTTTAAAGACATTTTAAGCTGCATCTGAAACTGTTATTAACTGTATTTTGGACCTTGGACCGTTTGGTGCCCAGTAAAGTGCATTATATGGAGAAAAATCCTGGAATGTTTTCATCAAAAACCGTAATTTCTTTTCGACTGAGGAAAGAAAGACATAGGCATCTTGGATGACATGGGGGTGAGTAAATTATCAGCAAAAGTTTTTTCAAAAGTGAACTACTCCTTTAAAGAGGCTGTATGTAGAAACGACACTGGTGGCCGTTAAGTGAACTGCAGTCAGCAACATATTGCTTGTGTTCGTAACGTCCATGAGAATAAACGTGATTCAATGTTGATATGTCAGTCCCTCCAGAAAAACGCGATTATGCGATCGCATGATTTAGTGCATAATCAGTCAAAGTCGCATATTTATGCTGGGCCGCATTTTTGCCTCATAAATGGCCGATTTCCGTGCAAAATATGCGGGGCTTGCATGATTTCGTAATCCTCGCATTTTTGTTGCAAAAAAGTCACATATATCTTAGCAGAAATTTGAAAAATGTTGCGTTTGCGTCACACGAGAGCAGCCGTTTCCCCCTGTTGCCATGGGAACGTTATGAAGTGACGTGATTACGCGACGTGAACATCATCGAAAAGCTGTAAAACAGGAGCACAGTTTATTTTTTTCTTTTATTTATTCATTTTTACAGAAGTTGTAGCATATTCCTTTTGTAAAGCTACAGAACTTGTTTGACTCATCAATGTTTTGTAAGTTTGATGTGTTTATTAAAGGAACACTCCGACTTTTTGAAACTTTAGCCTATTCACTTTATCCCCCAGAGTTAGATAAGTCCATACATACCTTTTTCATCTCTGTGCGTGCTGTAACTCTATCTGACGCACCCACCGCTAGCCTAGCTTAGCACAAAGACTGGATGTAAATGGTTGCAGCTAGCATACTAATCCAAATATGTGACACAATAGCGCAAACATTTTCCTATTTACATGTTGTGATTTGTATAGTCACAGAGTGTACAAAAAACAAAGTCACATGAGACACAGACATATTTTAATCGTATAAATACTGGGAACTATATTCTCTGAACGCGAAGCACTGCTACTTGGGCGGAGTGATAACCGCAGCACCTGAGACGCACTCTCTGCTCCTCACCACGGCGCGTCTCAGGTGCTGCGCTTATCACTCCGCCCAAGTAGCAGTGCTTCGCGTTCAGAGAATATAGTTCCCAGTATTTATACGATTAAAATATGTCTGTGTCTCATGTGACTTTGTTTTTTGTACACTCTGTGACTATACAAATCACAACATGTAAATAGAAACATGTTTGCGTTATTTTGTCACTTATTTGGATTAGTATGCTAGCTGCAACCATTTACATCCAGTCTTTGTGCTAACCTAGGCTAGCGGTGGGTGCGTCAAACAGACTTACGTCACGCACAGAGATGAAAAAGGTATGTATGGACTTTTCTAACTCTGGGGGATAAGGTGAATAGGCTAAAGTCGCAAAAAGTCGGAGTGTTCCTTTAAGGTCGAAATAAAACAAGATGAGAACTGAAATATTCCAGCACTTTCTGTGATGTATATGCTTGCTTATCATAGAAAGTAATAAGAAAGGACTCTTTACATTGAGGTAGTAGTCTAGTGAGAACAGGGTGTTGTTGGGGAATCACTTTTTTTTCTCTTTTTCATCAAACGGCAGTTTTTGCAAGTTCTCGCAATTTCATCGCATAAAATTGCGTAAATATCCCGCATATTCCATCGCATTTTTTAAGAAAACGGGCCGCATAATCAAGTATTTTTGCCCGCAACAATCACAAAAAAACTCTGTGTTTTTCTGGAAGGACTGATATGTAATCACAAGCTCCGCGATTCACCGCCGTCATGTCGACAGATGAGGTAATTAAAACTACACTGTTACGATATTTGATTAAGATTTATCTGAGAGTAGTATAGAGATGTGAGACTATAGTTTGAATCCCTTTTCTTTGCATGACACATTTACAGTACAGTTACAGTACAGAATGGCTCTTTCGGCACTATCCTGAACATAAGAAACCATTTCATGTGTCACTGAAGGGAAGTGTGGCTCTCGGGAGCGCGTAACCGTCACATCCTTTTATTTTTCCTTTTCGCGAGTCCTTCGCATAAAAATCAATCGACAGGCTTTCATAGGCAACTTAGGAAGACCTCCTCTTTTAAGTTTCATTACAAGCTGGTCACACATTGGCAATAAAGCAAGTATTAATACATGCAGATTCGTACATATAGCCCCTTTAAGACGTGTTCCTGGTCTTATTATGAATGATTCAGCAGTGTAAGATAATCTAAAGAGAAAAAATTAATTGTCTTTGTAATCTTTCAGCAAAATGTAACAACTTGCTCTGAGTTTTTGCTGACATCACCGCTAGTGCGGGCTACCAATACCCAGTTAGCTTTAGTTTTAGGTTACTGTTGTAGGCAAAACATCTTTTCTAAAACCCTACAATAGTTCATTCAATGCTGGTGGTTTAAACTCGTTTATTCTGGAACATCCACTTTTCACCATCCAATCAAATCTGATTGAATATCCTGATTCCCCGGTAAATATTTCACATTATTAAATGAAAACCGTTGTGAACAGCGTTTCATGTTGACTAAAAGGAATTCATATAATTTTACATATTTTAAAAGAACATGCACGCAGAAGAACCTCAATCATAATTCAAACCGATTCATTATTTATATTTAGTTGTTTTTTTTTGGTTGAGCATAGCAATTTTAACACTTAAATGTCATCATAATTTCTGGCTAAAGAGGGGTCATGCAAGTTCGTGATGAAGACAGAAACATGGTTTCTTCTTGAACTGTTTCAGCGGGGGTTTATATTAGGACAGAAGACATGGACGCTGTTTATGAAGTGTCCTACAGTAAGCAGCAGGCTCTGAACATGGTCATGCCCGTCGATGACGTCACCTGTAACGAGACGCTCTCATTGGCTGAAATGAAGAGCACGGAGCCTCGTTTCAGAGTGATGTCAGAGAGGGCGGCAGCAGACGTGGCGACGGCGTCTCCGTCGATTACCAACAGGATCCCGGCAGAATCCAGCGCGCTCACAGTGTACTGATGCTCTGAGGCAGGGATCTGGAGAACAACACCAGGAAAATTGTTAATTACAGACACTAGGAACATTATTATGAGTATAATATTACTAGAATTTTAATATTAGAGCTGCACAATTCTGGATAAATTGAAAACCACGATTCCTTTGTTTACAAAAAAGAGATAACGATTCTATCATGATTCTGAACAGGCAACTAAACAAAATAACATGTAATTTACAAGAGGTTCTGATAAAATATTCATTGCTGCATTCGATTAAAAAAAAAATCTAATTAATTCATTTAAAAAAAAAATTATATTGAATGAATGATTCAATGACTCACTCTCGTTTCATTACTGGATGAATCAGCGTTTTTGAACGAATCTCTTGAATGAATGATTCAATGACTCACTCATAAACACTTCACTTGTTTCATTACTGGATGAATCAGCGTTTTTGAACGAATCTGTTGAATGAATGATTCAATGACTCACTCATAAATACTTCACTTGTTTCATTACTGGATGAATCAGCATTTTTGAACGAATCTCTTGAATGAATGATTCAATGACTCACTCGTAAATACTTCACTTGTTTCATTACTGGATGAATCAGCGTTTTTGAACAAATCTCTTGAATGAATGATTCAATGACTCACTCATAAATACTTCACTTGTTTCATTACTGGATGAATCAGCGTTTTTGAACGAATCTCTTGAATGAATGATTCAATGACTCACTCATAAATACTTCACTTGTTTCATTACTGGATGAATCAGCATTTTTGAACAAATCTCTTGAATGAATGATTCAATGACTCACTCATAAACACTTCACTTGTTTCATTGCTGGATGAATTAGCATTTTTGAATGAATCTCTTGAATGAATGATTCAATGACTCACTCATAAATACTTCACTTGTTTCATTACTGGATGAATCAGCGTTTTTGAACGAATCTCTTGAATGAATGATTCAATGACTCACTCATAAATACTTCACTTGTTTCATTACTGGATGAATCAGCATTTTTGAACGAATCTCTGGAAATGAATGATTCAATGACTCACTCGTAAATACTTCACTTGTTTCATTACTGGATGAATCAGCGTTTTTGAACGAATCTCTTGAATGAATGATTCAATGACTCACTCATAAATACTTCATTTGTTTTATTACTGGATGAATCAGCGTTTTTGAACGAATCTCTTGAATGAATGATTCAATGACTCACTCATAAATACTTCACTTGTTTCACTACTGGATGAATCAGAGTTTTTGAACGAATCTCTTGAATGAATGATTCAATGACTCACTCATAAATACTTCACTTGTTTCATTCATAGATATCATATAGAGACTAGATGCCCTATTGGCCGCTGGAAACCAAGAAATCCGGCCGCCATCTTGAACCGGTCGTATTCCTAGTTTCGTTGCGTGGCAGCAGATAAGATGCCAGAGCATTGTGGAGCATTTTCCTGTTCTAATCGTCGGACCATCGAAAATAGGGCTTTTCACAAGTAAGTCTTAACATTACCGTACTATTGGTTGTATTTTGTGAATAGAATATTACCAGATAATCAAGAAGGAGCAAGGATATTTGCTATTACTGTACTGAAATCGTTGTGAAATGCTGTTTACTGCATCAGCCGGTGTTCACCCGGCATGGAGAGGTGGGGTAACTGTTAAAGTAGTAATTACAAGAGCTTCTAGGTTATCAGATAAGCATTCAACTGCCCTGTTGTATGTTATTTGTGTTTGCGCATGTAACAGGAGACCAGTTACACGCACATGATATCAGGAAGCAATGTAAATACAAGCATTACAGCGATGCGCAAATTGAGTTACCCCTCCAACTTCTAGTTTTATTGATAACCTATATCTTATCACATGCGATTTGGCTATTGATATTACAGAAGTCCTGTGGTAAAATTACATTATTAACTTACTCCATCTACCCTTGTAAAGTTAATCCGAATAGGGCTTTAGTCTCGACATTTTCCCCTCCCACATCCACATACAATAAAAAAGGTACAGGCTTAATGTTGTCCGAATTAAATTTTTAGAAATTACTGATGCAAACACGTTGAAAAGCTTCTTCTCAATTTTTATTACAGGTGGCTGCGTTCGGTGGATTCGGTGGCTGCGTTCTGTGTGTGAAAGTGTGTGTGTGTGTGTGTGTGTGTGTCTGTGTCTGTTCGTGTTTGTTTGTGTGTGTGTTCGTGTGTATGTGCGTGTCACAAATCATAAATTGTTTCTTCAACTTATTAAAATATCTTACTTTACTGCAACTATCTGTTTCTGCTTCTTTATTATATTTATAGTGTGTGATTTATAAAATACATTATATCCTTCATCACACATATTGTGTCTGGTCACTTTATATCTTATATCAGAATATTATATTACTGTTAAGCCTACTATGGATATTAAAATACGCCGAACCATGTGTCCTGTATCATAGCTACATGAATGACCTTTGCAGCAAAAAAACGCGTGAAAATCAGTTCAGTATTCAGTGAGATATGATTAATTTAATGCGCTGACAGCTCATTTCACCTGCCATTCAGATTACACTGAGCGGAGCGGATGACCGGTTTAAGATGGCGGCTCCAATTCTCGTCCGTGCCAATAGGCAGTAGCGGTCGATAGGGCGTCTACCTATATGATGTCTATGGTTTCATTACTGGATGAATCAGCGTTTTTGAACGAATCTCTTGAATGAATGATTCAATGACTCACTCATAAATACTTCACTTGTTTCATTACTGGATGAATCAGCGTTTTTGAACGAATCTCTTGAATGAATGATTCAATGACTCACTCATAAACACTTCACTTGTTTCATTACTGGATGAATCAGCGTTTTTGAACGAATCTCTTGAATGAATGATTCAATGACTCACTCATAAATACTTCACTTGTTTCATTACTGGATGAATCAGCATTTTTGAACGAATCTCTTGAATGAATGATTCAATGACTCACTCATAAATACTTCACTTGTTTCATTACTGGATGAATCAGCATTTTTGAACGAATCTCTTGAATGAATGATTCAATGACTCACTCATAAATACTTCACTTGTTTCACTACTGGATGAATCAGCATTTTTGAACGAATCTCTTGAATGAATGATTCAATGACTCACTCATAAATACTTCACTTGTTTCATTACTGGATGAATCAGCGTTTTTGAACGAATCTCTTGAATGAATGATTCAATGACTCACTCATAAATACTTCACTTGTTTCATTACTGGATGAATCAGCGTTTTTTAACGAATCTCTTGAATGAATGATTCAATGACAAATACATTATTAGCAGTCTCTTGTCGCCACCTACTGGTGTAATAATGTAATTTGAAGCATCATGTTACATTTCAAATGGTGATCTGCTCTATTTTGATCGCTACCATAGACATCAGTGTTCACTATAGACTTTTATCCCAGTACTTCTGTGATAATATGGATTATTGTAATACAGAAATAGTGATACTGCGTGGTTGAGGTGAAGCCGTTTGATATCTATACATGGGATGGTGATGAAGGACAGCTCAGGTGTGTGGCGCACCTGTATTCTCATGACGCTGAAGTCTGGCACAGGAGGGTCGTAGAGGTAGACGCAGGGGTCGCTGTTGTCCCGCACGCACGGGAAGATTTTGGCACTGACCGGAGCCGGGCTGTAATTCAACATCTCACACAATGTGTCCACGTCTATGTATTTGGGAGTCAGTCCGGCACGTACGGTGTTATCAGAGCACGCCATACACTCCACACAGTCTGCAGGATTCAAAGAACCATCAAACAGCGGATACACATGAATGAATATTATGCAAATTAATAAATATTAAGTGAATAATGAATATATTTCACAAAAAATGACACAACCTACATGGAATAACTGAATATTAAATAAATATTATGGATTATTAAATTAATATTAAATAATATATTTCATTAAAAAAAGTACAACCTAAATGGAATAAATTAATATTAATGAGTGTTAATAAACATATTTAACAAAAAGTACAACCTACACTAAATAAATGAATATTGTGAATTATTAAGTGAATATTAATAAATATATTTCACAAAAAGTACAACGACACAACTTACATGGAATGAATGAATATGAATGAACATTAAATGAATATTAAGTGAATATATTTCACAAAAATTACAACTACACAACCTACATGGAATAAATGAATAGTATGGATTATTAAGTGAATATTAATGAATATATTTCACAAAAAGTACAATAACAAAAAAGTACAATAACAAAAAAGTACAATAACATTCATATTCATATATTAAATAAATGAATATGAATGAACATTAAATGAATATTAAGTGTATATTATTGAATTTATTTCACACAAAAGTACAACTAAATGAATGTATGGAATAAATGAATATTAATGAACATTAAATTAATATGTTTCACAAAAATGAGAACTTTTATATTATAATTACAACTCCACAACCTGCTCAAAGAATGATTAAAGTGAATATTAAGCAGAAACTACAATACAACTATTGAAAAAAATTGAATATTGAGTTTTTTCAGACTTTGTCCAAGAAACATGTTTTGTGAGTAATGAGGTGACACCTGACCTCCAGACAGATAGGCATGAGGCTCGTTTGCTCCCAGAAACATGGCTTCCCCCGGCTGCAGCACCATCCGGTTCAGGAAGTAAATGGAAAAGCATCCGATGTCCCCGGGATACTGGGAATGCAGTCGGAGCAGCAGCTCTCCGTTACTCCTGGACGTGTCTTTGCCTGCAGCCTCTGGGACAAAACAACAGGCTCAACTTTCAGGTTTGTTTGATTTGTATAGCACATTTAAAAACAGCACAACACACTAAACGAAGAAACACAGGGCAAACCACACATTCATGACAGAAGCTGAATGTTAATATAGGTTTTAAGAGACGATTTAAAAACAGTTAAAGCCTGTGCCGATCTGATATACGGCGGAAGGGACGGCACTAGCGAAGGCTTTAATGCTTTAATCGTGATCCGCGGACAGAGAGAAGTCTCTTTTCAGCAGACCTGTGGATTGTGTAGATACAGTAGCTCAGACAAATAGCTCGGTGCCATATTATTTAAGTTAATAATTTTAAACTCAAACTTCTAAACAGGTAGCGAACAGGTCAGACGGGTTTGATCAGAACAGCATGTTTAATAATGTGCTGGTTTCCTCTCACCTTCCTCTGAGATTCGCTTGACCAACATGTTGAGCTGATCCACAAACAGCTTCTTCTCACAGTTCATCATTCTGGTGAAACATTTCTTCAGCGCGAGAGACGTTCGGCCCGAGTCTCCCACAGCGCTCTGGAGCTCCTCGGCGGCTTCAGTCCCGATCAGCGCACGGAACTCTGGGACATCTGGAAAACACCATCAGCTGGTCTCAGATCAGAAGCACAGACCTGCTTTATTCAATCAGTATTCATATGAGCAGCCAAGGCACTTCTACTGCGAAAAGTCCATCAAAAATGTTCATTGCTAATATTTTGCATGGTTTGAACTAATATATACATTTAACATTTAATCATTTATCAGACGCTTTTATCCAAAGCGACTTACGTATGCTACTCATATTGAATCGATGTTCTTAAATAAATAAATAAATATTTATATAAATATATATACATATATATTTAAATTTATTTAATATTTAAATATTTCTATAATTTAAAAAATATATATTTTATATATATATACATTTGATTAGATTTATATACATATATATATATAAATATATTTTGTTTAAATATTTCTCTTATTTAAAAAAAAATATATATATATATATATATATGATTAGATTTATAGATTGATAGATTTCATTATAATTTTTTTATTAATAAGTTAAATCATTTTTGTACACTAAACTTAATGAACTTGCTTAATAAAATTATTCTTCTAGTAAAATTTCCAAAAAATTAATTGTATGAGTACAGTGAAGTACAAAACAAAATCATGTATAATATACAGAAGTTAAATATGATTCTGTATCAATGGTGAACAATGATTAAACAAACATATTTAAGTCGATTTAAGTTTAAAAGGCTGCAATTCACACAAACGTCCACTGTGTGCAACACATTACACTTCTGCAATATGACACATTTCCAAGTGTTGAGATATTCAATGAGAAAAACATAATAATAACAATGTAAAACGGGTGCAATTTTGTGTCATCTCCAGCTGAAAAACAGTGCCATCTCGTTTAGTCCATTAAACACTCACTTTTGAGGAAGCCCAAGATCTCCTCCATCGGCCGAAAGCCGCAGAGCCCTTCGAAGCGAGTGAGTGCGATGGCCATCTCCGGTTTGTGGTTGTTGTCTGGGTAATGTTCAGGAAACTGCGCATGGAGTCTGGCAGCCAACTCCTGTCAAGAGACAAGGACAAAAGAAATCAGCGGATCGTTCTGCTCGTACCCGAGTTAGGGCTGCACGATTTGGGCCAAAATGATAATCACGATTATTTTGATCAATATTGAGATCACGATTAATTATCACGATTATTTGTTGATTTTAACCAAAACTAATTTTATTGTCACATAGGCTAATTATAACTGCTTTCACATCCATATTGTGCTGCATTCCTGCTAATGTACAACTATGTGCATCAAAATAAAACAGGTCCTCTTATTCACCAAAATTCAGTGCATCTCCTTAAAGAATAAAGAAAAATAAAGAAAATGTAGCAAAACTTCAACAGGGCACTATTTTACATTGTGTAAATATATTTTAGGAAGCAACATTTTTTAATATAAATTGTATTAATATAAAAATAAATTAAACTTGCATTGTACCTGCATAATGGATGTGAATAAAACGCGTAAAATATACAATCAATAAAAAACCAAATATTCCATAACAGAGTGTAACCAAATGAGAACATGTCAAGGCAGAACTGCACTATGGAAGTTCGATTAATGGATCAAATTCAGAGTCATTGTTATTTGACGCTTAAGAAATGTAAAATGTTGTGGTACAGTGTCTTACTGCATAAATTTAATCTATTTAATCCTCCATATGAAAGTTTATGTGCTCGAATTATTTCTATTTATTAAACAATAGTTCAAAACAAGACGTTTGTAGTACTGATTATTGGAGTCCATTAATCGAACTTTCATGCCTCTTATATAGTAATTATATATTATATAATGTAGTATGTACCAATTTACTAATGCTCACACTCGGTCTCTCTCGCACGCAGACACAATCGGTATCTCTCGCGCACTTTCGAGCGCGCTCTTGGACACTCGGGCTGCGTCCGAAATCGCGTACTTCCATACTATATAGTATGTGAAAAACCTAACCTAACTTTGGTAAGCCAAAATCGTGATCGTGATTAAAATTCGATTAACCCGAGTACATTTCTATGAGGAACACGGTCTCCAATCTTACCCTGTTGGGATGCGCCTGGATGGACAGAGCCGTGTTGACGGACAGCACTTTGAAAAGGAAAGGGAGCTGCCCGTGGAATGTGTCCTTGACCTTTGACCCCAGGCAGCCTGGGAAATCTGCAATCCACTGTCCCAGTGTCCTCTGGGATATCCTGTTGTCTTTGATGAGAGCGTCGCCTTTGGGATGAGCACCCATCCAAAGCTTGAAAGACAGCAGAAAACAAAGATGTAATTATCGGAGATTCATTTTGTTTCTTATTATTAACTGTTCTTAAAGGTGCAGTCACTGATCTGTATAATGAGATATATATATATATATAGATCAGTGGGTGAAGTGCATAAATGCTGCAGAAGTAATGAAACCAAAAATGAAAAACTTTGCAAATGTCAAAATGAAGGGTCCTTTAAGATGATTATTTATCTAAAAATAGACTGTCTGCAGATCTGAACACATGCTGAGGGTTTATTAATAGACTGCCAGATAAAGTGAATGTCAGGCTGACCTTTAAGTGAGCTGCTATTTTCAGAGACACTTGCGCTTGTTAAAGTCTGATACACAATGAGTGCGACAGCCGCACAATACACTGCATTTTAAACTGTGGTTTTCTGTCTTGTATTTTATCTCAGAATGTGGGAATTGGTGGAAATAAATGAATACAGACTCTTATTTACAGGAGGTAAACATAAAGCCTATTTCAAATTTTTACAGTAATATTGTTCTTGTAAGACTGGAAGAACTGGTTGATGGAATCAACCTCACCACAGGTCTATAAGACAAAGGACCTTGCTTGCACATTAACATTTGAACATCTCACACACACACCCCACACATTTTCTCTCTCTCTCTCTCAGTCAGTAACACTAAAAACTCACACAAGAATATATATGGTTTTAATGTGAATGTGATTATCTTTAAGGATTGTTTAGCATCATTTTAAAGGTCTCAGGGTGACTGGTACAAATGTCTCATTCCCAAAGAAGTAAATCAAAGGGTAATAAAGTTCTTAAGAATATAGAAATATCTTGCACTCAGAAGGGTGTGTCTTTGAGTTAACACCTTCTGATCATTTGTCTGAATGCTAATTTTCAGTGTTCCTAGCAAATGGTCAAACTTCTATCCTCAGTCAGTCTGGGGAGGGGACCACAGTAAATTTCCACTAAACTCATGTTTTACATATCAAAGGAGGTCTGGATATATAATGAAATGCAACGGAGAGTTCAGCATTTAATTAAAAACCCCTTTGCCATGGGAAGAGACGGAACTCGCGTGAGACCTTCACCTCTAATCGAGTACCGCCATTGGATCGAATTAGAAGGCCTTACAGTTCTTCCAGGATTTCAGTAATAAAAGTCTAGGCTAGATCTTTAAAATGCATCCGAAGTGCAACATCTCTTATTGAGAAGTGGACTCGGACAGCAATCAAATCACTGTATGACCTTGGTGTTTGTTAAAAAAAAACAGTAGGCCGTGGATTTTTACGCAGGTGTTGGGAGAAAAACACGGACATTCTGGATTCAGACGGCAATAAAATCACAGACTAGTAAATGTTGAAAATACTGAAGGGTTGGTCAAAATCCCTTGCCTCTTCAAATACATATATAATCATATATCGATTTTGAATGGTTATAGTATACTTCCTTTATAAAAATCAATAATCAAATATATTCATTATCACATAATAATTTTTATATTCTTGTGCTTGTGAAATTATATTTTCTTAAATGCATGGATGCAAGTAACCAGTTTCTTTTAGGTGCATTCCAATCTTACTTTGAGATTGCACGTAGTACACGCAGGACACGAAGGCCACGTAACCCACAAGGCCGTTTGTCTCTTTCTCTGGGATCAGTAGAAAGGTTAGAGGGTCCTAAAGGCAGCGTGGACACATATGATTCTTCGCTGGACATATGGTCAAGCTATATTGAGCGTTACTATCAAACTTTAATTGTTGTATTAAAATGTATTCTTTCCAGTGTATTTCCTTCCTTGGGAGTAAATGTCAGTGATCTGTTTTTCTCCTAAATGAGTGAATGTTTTAGCATTATGTTTTGGTATACTTAACTGATAATAAGGAGCTCAGACTCTCTTCAGCCTTGATGGGAGCTGTTATTTGCTAGTGTCTGTTATTTGTGTGTGTGTGCGTATGACATTCTATGTAGGTTCTGGACGGTCGGACCAGACACCCCGGCGCCCTTCTCTAACCTGCGAGGCCACCACAGACCTAAATCCAATGAGTGGACGACAACTATCTTTACTAATGGCGATAGGCACCCCTATCTCCTCACATGTGTTAAATTGTTTAGGCTTTCATGTTTCTTAGCCAATGAGAATCATTCAACCTGTAAGCAATGACGTAGCTTAGACCTTGGAAATGGTATAACTGCTGTGATCTTTGTAACTGTAAGGGGGGCGGCCTACGAACTCCTGTGTGAGTCTTGAAGCTGACTTCTGCTGATGGAAATGCAAACTATCTTCATAAAAACTTTTCTTTAATTTTTTATAATTCTGACTCCGGGTCTTCATTCTTCATATCTGGTTCTGGGTCTTTGACTGTATACCCCTTACAATACCTTACGACACCACGAGAGACAATAATAGTCTGAAGAGGGATATTGACACAGTTTGAAAGTCTCTGCATTTTTCTGCTGATTGGCTCTCAAAAGTGAGTGTTTTTATTATTTGTATTACTATTAGGGATGCACGATATATCGGCCACCAGATCGGTATCGGCCAATTTTTAATGTTATTGTTATCGGCCTGATAAGAAAATTTGTCCGATATATTAAAGCTGATAAATAATGTATTATGTCCTTCAGCTGAGACACTTCAGATGCGCACTGTTCACCATGATGGTTTTGAATTGCTTAAAATATGATTGAAATCACTTCAAAAAAGGAAAATACAGTTCAGTGCAACATGTGCAGCGCAAGTCTGTCCTATAAGCTTCATTACATTATAATAAGAACATTATAATTGTGTGCTTAGGTCATGAATTTTAATGGTGAGACTTTTGTTTTTGTAATCAGGCTCTCAAAAATTATATAAAAATTTGGTTTTAGATTTATCAGCTAATATATTGTCTTTCAAATATAAAGAATAATCGGTTATATCGGCCAAAATGTTCATATCGGTGCATCCCTAATTATTATTAATGCAGGGGTGTATAATTATAACATCAATAATACTAATTATTACACAATTTGAAGGTCTCTGTGACTCTCTTCGGCTTTCTCAAAAGTTTTTCATTACAACACAGGCAATAATAAAAAGTTATCCATGAGGAAGATATGAACAAAATTCTGTTTATTTTTTTTTCATGACATTTCTATCAGTTTTAAAGCATTTTATATATAGCGAATCTATATTTGTATATACAGTAATTTGTTTTTTTGGGGGGGTTGGCTGAGAGTCTGGGTGGGGGATTGAGTTTTTCGGATCTGATCCACACTGTACCTCTGCGTAGTGTTTGGTCTCCTGGATGAGAGCCTGAGGGTCTCCACCGAGCACGAGCCGGGCCACCTCACTGTCCTGGCCCACTTTACCCCAGGCGTAGTTCTGCACCACACAGCACAGAGGAAACACTGCGGACACAGACACACTAACATCATCTGAGCGAAACCGACCGCGCACAAGCGTGACATAAAACACATATTCTGATGTCATATGAATTAATGAATGGATGAATGGATGTGAATCACATCGACGAGAAACGCTTACACACACAAAAAATCCGAACAACCGCACAAATAACTAATCCACCCAAACGACACACAAACCAACGATAACAACAACCCGTCCTGTTATAACCCGCTGCTTGTTACTAAACGCTTTGTAAAATAAACAATGAAATGTGAAGTGAGATTAAACTGACCTTTCACTTCCGCCATGTCTGCGACGTTGACAGTCAAGTAGGTGACGTCACGGCTCGCCAACCAATCACGGGCCTTTAGATGTAAATAAAGATAATTCACACTGTAAAGTGTAAAATAAAATGTATGTAGGCCTACATTATATTTTAAAATGTAATCTAGGCTATTTCTATGAATATCTAATGATTAAGTTAAGGTAACAAAATAAGGAGTTTAAATATATAATACTTTTTTCTTATACTATAATTATATATTCATATTAAAATGAAAATCAATCAATCATTTTATTTCTAAAGCACGTTTAAAAGCAACACGAGTTGACCAAAGTGCTTTACAGACCCTACCTTAATAAACATAGGAGAGTTTATTTATAAACCATAATAAAAACAGAAGGGTCTTCACTCTTCAACCTAGATTTAAAACACTCAATATAAAGGATTTAATGGGTAAAGGGAGACTATTCTTTACACAAAATAAAAAGAATGAAGTATAATGTATAATTTTTATGTATAATGTATAACAGTTTCTTTCCAGCTGGACACAGCATGCACAACTACACTTTATTATCCTAGTTATTATGTGTAGTGGGGTTTGAGTCTTTTGTCCTGACGCTGTGTATGTGTAGGGGTGTGGTGTGGTTGGGGTGAGGGAAATTCTGTTGTATATTCTGTTTTGTCAAATTGTCTTATTGTCTTTTGTATAAATGTATCAGACGTACTGTATGGTGCAGAACAATTTTACGAAAGGATAAATAAATCTCTATCTAATGTACAACATTTTTTTGACATGGTTTCACTTTAAACAAACAAACAAACAAACAAATAAATAAATGAATAAATGCAAAACTGAAGTTATATTACAAACTACCACAAAGTTAAGAAATACAATACGGGTCTTTTTAATAAAAAAGAGAAAATCTCGATATAATGTAATTAAGTGCTATTTTTTATTGAGAATTCTTTTAAAAAGTCTTATTAGTTCGTTAAAAACGAGATTGACAGTCAGATTTAGATTGACAGTCAGAAAATTTTGTTTTCTGGATATAAAGTTTTTTCATGCAGAATATAAAAGTTTACCTCACTAATCATAAAAAAAAATAACCGTCAACGTCTTCTGATGACGTCGCAGTCAGATCAGCAGCGCATGCGCGTCACGCACTCACTACGGAAGTGCGGAGAGGAAACGGCAGAGTTCGCAGTGTTTCTCTGGTGCCGCTCAGTTTGGACTCTAAAGGCGGATAAAGTCCCTCACAATGTCGGGATTTGACTCAAACCCGTTTGAAGAGACAGTCGACGTCAATCCATTCCAGGTGAGAAACTCGCGGTCCACAGGAGAAGCGCTTCTGAGGGGTTTAAGCGGGTGTTTAGGCGAGTTTCGCAGGGTTTGTGTTGATGTATATGATGATGATGATGGGAGTTTTGGGTCAGGTGAGTCCGGTTCGGCCGTTGACGTGTCATGGTCGCTGATGCGGGTGTTAGTGTGTTAGTTGTCGCTGGTGAAGGGTGTGTATCCGCGCAGGTTTGGTGACACGCTGAAGGCCAGAGCGCCACTCCTGTTAATGTCACAACACTGTAAAGCGCTGTAATAACAGAATAACTGCCTGAATGCAACTCTGTGAGTCACACAGTGAGTGTGAGGCTCTGATCACCTGTGCTCGACTATTTTTCTCTTCATCATCTCTAATGCGCCACACAATCGAGCAGAAATGCGTCAGACAAAACTCAAGACTTGTGAATGCATCTGACCAAGACATGCAGGGCTGGCATTATGCTCTCTGCACATTGCACAACATGATTTGCATTATCAAGTGAAATAATGCATTTTGATTATTGAATGAAAACAACAAACGTGACTGACAATAATGCACTGCACAGTGCAAAAAGGTCAGATCTCACAATGGTGTATTTGCTATCATGAGCTTTTTATCAATGGTAAGATTCTAGGTTATTCTATGATTCTAGTTTCTATGGGTAATGTGAATATAAATTGCATATATTGCATTTACACATTTTTTTTGTGCTTTTTCTGCAGTTCAAATGCAAAAAATTTAAATACAAAAAAAATATGGCATGCACTAAAAATAAGAAATAGACATTATATATGCTACAAATCATAATGATGCATTATATGCATTACATTATATGCATAACAGGTCAGGATTTTGACAAGATATTTGACAAATACCATGCCGTTTTAATCCACATTAAAATTTTGGGTTAAAATCTATGTAAATGTAAAATGTGAAGTGTATATTTTAGGTGCATTTATTAACATTTTAGATTTTTTTTTTTTGCAGTTCATTTCAATAGTCTTGCTGTGTGCCAAATGCACAATTATAAAAGTAAAAATATGTTGTAATCTGTCAATTAATTTGACATTGTAAGTGTCACCTGCTGACTGATGCACACAGACGTATCACGGTTTGCTTTAGTTTTACAATATTCGTACTGTTTGTCTTCTGGCATCTTTGTTGTGTTTTCATTGTCTGGAGTCTCATATAGTTTCTCTTTAATGCAGCAGAATATTGAGTTATGCACAAAGCAAACATTCCTGTGCTCCTCGTCCCCCTCGACGGGAAATACTGATCGCTGGTCTGCTGGAATAGAATCATAATTCAGATGTTTAGTTATACATGCACTGATTTGAGCAGTGACTTTCTGCTGAGTTTGATGGTTATGATCCATGAAAGTGTCCATTTTCACATTGTATGTCATGTTTCATAAGGTGCATCATATTACCTGTTGATTGTTGTGGCCGGAAGAGAATGGCTGTAGAGAAATCTGACTAATCTTATTTTTAATAGTATTGCAGTATTGATGATAAATCCGTGCACATCATCATTATTGTTGTTGAAATATAATTTTTGATCAGAATAACTTGACGGGGGCGGGGCAACCTGTCACTCACATGAGATGTACTTTCAAAACATCAGTTTGATTGACAACGGATGGAAGTTTTTGTGCTTTTCAGATTTTAGACCTTAATAATTTTTTTCACTTATCGATTCCACGCGCATTTATAGTTTTAAACCATTGAAGCGCAAGAAGACACGAAAGAGAAGTCGGCACGAGAATGCTGAATTGTGTTCTCTTTCACGTCTTCTTGAGCTTGAACATATACACGTCAATTTTCTCGTAAATACAGTTGGTTATGTATGGAAGCTTGTTTCCGCCACAGAATGAAAAATAAAAAAGGTAATTGCGACTTTTTATCTCACAATTCTGACTTTTTTTCTCAGAATTACGAGTTATAAAGTCAGAATTGCGTGATATAAAGTCGCAATTGCGAGATATAAAGTCAGAATTGCGAGATATAAAGTCGCAATTGCGAGATATAAAGTCAGAATTGCGTGATATAAACTATTCTGAGGGGAAAAATGTCTTTTTTTTCCCCTTAGAATTGGCCTGATAACTCGCAATTGCGAGTTTATATCTCACAATTCTGAGAAAAGATGTCAGAACCTCGAGATATAAACTCGCAATTATGTGTTATAAAGTCAGAATTGCGAGATGTAAACTCGCAATTGTGAGAAAAAAAGTTAGAATTGTGAGAGAAAAAGTCTCAATTCTGTCTTTTTTTCTCGCAATTGCGACTTTATTTCTCACAATTGCGACTTTATTTCTCACAATTCTGACTTCATATCTCGCAATTGTGAGATGAAAAAGTCGCAATTATTTTTTTTATTTTTTTTAATTCAGTGGCGGAAACAAGCTTCCATAGTTATGTGTTAAGTGAACATAAACAGGTGAGAAAGAAAACTCATGTGTAACTGTATCCTAGATCCATGCATCAGGTCTTAAAGTGACAGCGGCCTAATAAACCTGTGTCATTACTGTTAGTCAAAGAACAGTAGAAAAAGAAAATCACTCACTGATCTTGACTGAATAACTTTTGTAACTTTAATACGGATTAATATAAAAAGAAAACTATACAGTGTTGTTTTACATTAGATATCAATTTATTTATTTGTGCTAATTTGCTTATTTGTTCTCATTGTATTTACTGACTGTATACTTGTCTTTAATAATGTTTGAAATGTATATTAATTAGTCTAGTTTACTAGTTGGTGTTTCTTTAGGCTGCTGATTTTTGTTCATGGTGTTCAGCTGCAACTGAATGCTTAACACAGAATATGTTTGATATCTAAATGTTTGACTTTTTTTTCCATATTGGACCGGAAACTGGGAATTGCTAAAATTCAAGCGCTACCCGAGCCAAGCCTAGTTCTGCTGTAAAGCGCACCTGTCCTGTCAGGCGCTGGTCTGAGGGAGTTTCTGTGGTGGTGATTCGGGTCGAGGCCTGTGGGAACGAGAACAGGTGTGTCTGTCAGGACAGACGCCAGAGACACAGTCAAACGCACTGAGTGCATATTTCAAAGTGCTTTAGTCATTTTTTTGCAACTTTCTGAGGAACATTTGCAGCTTAGATTCAATAAAAGATCTTTGATGGGGGTGGAAGTTTTATGTACTTCTGAAAGTTGATTTTATTGGACAATGAATTCGATTTTCCCTGATTCGAGCCTTTTAAGATCCTCCTGACGACAAAGAAAGTTCTCCATATCTATTGTGTTTTATGTGTCCCGCACTGGGTAAATATTTAAGCTGCTTCCTGTAAAGTCCTGCTCTGCCTGGCTGATGCAACGTCAGATCATGTGACTGATGAGATTCACATTAATAATCAGTGAACATATCAGTGGTTCCCAAACTTTTTGCAGCATGCACCCCTTTCTAGTGTTTGACACCTGTCAAGCACCCCCAACACCTTATTCTGGTTAAACTTCACATTTTTAATTGCAATAACTAAATACAAATATTCCCTGTAGATTAGGAGTGGGTGAGGCTGCACGTTTGCACACAGATCGGCAAAATTCGGGGTAACGGATGACAGTTTTACTGTGTCAAATCATTCTCGGCATCTAGTCTTTGTCTATGTATGACAATACATGTATGTTTTAAATATGTAAAAATAATAAAGAGACAAAAAAATATTTCCCGCCATTACAAACGGTCTTGATCATTATTTTTTTTTTTCATCTAGAACCACTGTTCTAGATGAATCTACATACACTTTGGACAAATATTT